TGTTTTAAAACTGTTCCTCTAGATTTTCATGAAGGTGAGCACTGTAGTCTCCAAGAAAGTTGCAGAGAACTTGTGATAGACTGGAGTATTCTCCAACCTAAGAGCATGGAAACGACCAGTTCTTTGCATCCCACTCTGTCTTGGTTACACAGTAGCACTATATTAGGAATCAGAGGATTCTACTCCTAGTTTAATGTAGAACTCTCTATGAACACAGGTATTTTCTGTCTTTGAAAAACAACAACAAAATGAACCATTAGACTTTTCCCACTCTGACTGAAGTATAATGAGAGCAGTTTTTCTGAGTACTCTATTTTATATACACTGCCAGCACTGACCAGTTGTTGCCTTTTGAACACAGTATGAGTGTTTAGCAGATCTTGGGAGCAGAGACAAAGCTTGCTTGTTTGGCAGTTACTCATCGTCTTCTCTCCAGTATTCATTCATTCATTTGTCACAACATTTTGGGGGGAGTTGTACAGGGAAGCTTAAGAAAAACTGCTTTACTCTTGTCTTGATTATAGAAAGCACTTCTCACTATTGGTAGCATGGTGGTAATTTTTCATTCCTTCTGGCAACTTTAAAAGACTTATTTGACTTTGGGGGAACCTACAGTATATCTCTAAGTCACAGTTCAAAAGTATATGACAAGATTTCTCATTTTCAATTTTGGTTGAAAAGTCTTAACTTTGACTGTGGCACTTCAAAGTTAGAGAAAACTTGGCTTTAAAAATGGAAGCTGATATGAGATGGCATATTTAATGACAGATGTATCTATAGAAAGCTGTTAAGATGCAGATTATCCCCTCTGGGGTGGGGGAGGGAGATCAAAACTGCCAATCTATAAAATATACTCGATAGAGGAAGGCTTGGAATCTATCTTCGCAAGTGCTTTGATTGCAGGGGACAGTATAGCAGCATGTGGCATCATAACCCAGAGCAGACAAATCAGCTTGATGACTTTCAAAGCCAGGAATACTGCTGCAGGCAAGGGTACTCCAGTCTAGGAGAAATTAAAACATATAGAGACTGTTATTAATTCCATATCTATTTTTGTATAGTCAAATCTGTATGCAAATCCTTAGCATCTCATTTCAGCAGATTAATCTAAAAGTGAAGAGTGTTATGTGAAGAGAATGTAATGATAAAGCTCTGCAAATGAGTAACACTGCTAAAGAAATGTGGGCTGCAAACTTGGATGCTTTTTATAAAATTTATTTTTTTATACTGAGAAGAAATGTTTTTTATTTATATGCTCATTTGTAAATCATTTCAAAAGGAAAGAAATAGAACTGATTTCCAACATTTTCCTTTGCAGTTCTGACTTGGCAAAAGTTACTACACTAAGCTTGCTAGGCACCTCCTGTGGTTTCACATTCTAGAGGTAATCAACCAAATAACTAACTGAGACTTTTGTCTTTACTCCCAACTAGTAATCCAATATCTCATTTCTAAACATTGTCATCTGAGTGAAAATTTGTATGTAAGTGTAAGAAATCTAATTACTGAGTGCAAATTAACAAAACATTCTATTATAGATGCATCTATGGAAGCTAGTAAATAATAATTCTAAATAATAATTATCATTATTTATTATACATGGAGATATTGTGTGCCCTGTTTGGGAGTGGGGATATAATAGCTCCATTCTAATCCATTGCTTATGAATTTAATCTATAAGGGGCAGAGTCTGATACATACAGTCATGTAAATATTTTCAAATAGTGTCATAAAGTGGAGAGTTGACTGCAGTAGATACTAATTCTGTCCCATATTTCTAAAACAAGTAGGGAAACTTGCAAAGTTTTAAAATAATAGGTGGGAACTTTTATCTTCTGTTCCCTTTCAATTACAGAAATGATTAAAGGAAAGCTGGACATTAATCCAGTAGCTATGTCCCAGGCTGAAAGCAATGACAATCATATTAACCTTGAACATGTATATGATTTGATGGTTCTTGTGTGGTTATTCTGAAAGAGAATTATTAAATATTCCATTTTTAATTGGGTAGGAAAGGAAAGATTTGGAGAAAAGCAACAAACATTAAAATTTATTTTGACACACATCTTGACTACATAGGCATTTTAGGCTCAGCTTTCTTAAATGTGTTTTCCTTTTGTTTCATTTTAGAAATGAGACGTTCAATGAGAAATCCAGAGAAAATATTTTTGAGGGCAAGAATCTCCCTTCTATTCTTCGTTAATTTTCTCTGATGACAAAACTTTTATTGATCATAAAAGTGGTTGAAAGCCTTAGAATTAAAAAAAAAAAGTGTAACCTTCAAGCTACTCCATGATCAAATATGTGAAAGATATAATTTCCTTATAGGGATTGAATCAGAGTAATGATTGGTCTGGGCGGGTTCCCTCATCTTTATGTGTCCATTAGTATTTGTTGATTCTTCCAGCTCAGTTGAGAGTTAGGCACTAACCCTCTGCATCATATTCAAGCTGATTTGAAACTTAACCATGGAGTTGATGGTGAAGACCTATTCAAAGCATTTGAACAGTCAAAGCCAAAATTGTACTGGATAAAGTTAAACGGACTATTTCAGTGCGGGGAGAGAGATCAGAATGGAGTTTGGAATAAACTCCTTTAAAGCAAAGAGATTTTTAAGAACTGCTTTTTAAGCACTGGGGTGAACAAGCAGAAAAGTACTGAGGAAATTTGGGGGGAAGATGGATCGATGTATGTTGTTGAGCACATTCAGTTACTTCTTAGTTTGCTCTTATTCCCTGTGATGAGGCTGTTGCTTATTGGTGCATATCAGTATTAGGTTCCTGCCCTCCCAAAGAAATTGGGAGATAGGGTGCCATCTTGCTTATATTTCAAAGGGATGGCTCCCACCCAAGTCCTCGAAGTTTTTCTTGGATTGTAAAAGTAGAATGTGTCTTTTAAAATGATTTTTATCTCAAAGAGGCAGAGAAATAATTTATAAATAATCTTTCTAAAATAAATGTCCTAAGAAAGGTCAGGGACCTAGCGGCAGGAAGTGACTTGAAACTGGAGAAACATAAAGACTTCTTGGTCATTATTATAGCAGTATTATGTTTTTTAATTTTTTTTAATTTCTTAAATTTTTTTTAGTTGTAGATGGACAAAATACCTTTATTTTATTTATTTATTTTTATGTGGTGATGAGGATCAAACACAGTGCCTCACATGTGCTAGGCAAGCACTCTAATGATGAGCTACAATCCCAGCCCAGTATATATGTTTTTAATTCAAAAAATTACCATTTGTTAGCCTGGCTCAATTTCAGATCTTTATTGCAAAATTACCTGCTTCTTCATGACACTTATTAAAGCAAGAATGTTATTCATTTTACAGTAGTGTCTAGAACTAAGTATAAGGCAATATTTCTAAAGAAAGACATTTTTGGTTCCTGTATTCCTGTTATTTTATTACCTAAAATTTTCTCACTGTATTGTTTTATGTGTTGTTCTTTAGTTTTTACATTTGATGGTAAAAAAATTAAGATATGATTTAAAAGATTTTGGACTTCATAGGACTTATTGTATACCAAAACCATGAAAAAAAGTGTAGGTCAAGTATCCTCTATCTAAAGTGCTTGGGACCAAAAGTGTTTCAATTTTGGATTTATTCAGATTTTGAATATTTGCCTACACATACAGAGATGTCTTGAAGATGGGAACCAAATCTAAACACAAATTTTTTTTTTATATATACATATAATTTTACACAGCATTTTTAGTGTGCCTGTATTTTGACTACAATCTGTCACTTGAGGTTGGGTGTAGAATTTTCCACTTGTGGCATCATGTGAGTGTTCAAAAGTTTTCAAATTCTGGAACATTAGGATTTGGATTTTTGAATTAGGGGTGTTCAGCCCCTATGAGGACAAATAGAAGAAATACCTAAAAAGTTTGATGATTTTTTTGTGGGTTTTAATTAAACAGAAGGTCTTAATTCTCTTGAATCTAAGCACTGTTAAGGAGGTTTTATAAAAATTGACCACAACAGCTACACAGGAGAATTTCAGATTTGTTCTGTCCAGTTTGGTAGCCATTAGCCACATGTGCCTTTTTAAGTATTTGAAATGTGTCTAATCTGTCCTGTGTCAAATATACTCTGGACTTTGAATACTTGGTATTGAAAAAATATAAAATACTTCCTTATATTGATTTCATGTTGAAATTATATTTTGACTATATAGAGGTAATAGAATTTATTATTAAAGTTCACTACTCCTTTTTACTTTTTAATGTGGCTACTGGAAAATTTATAATTGTATATGCGACTCACATTTATGACTTTTGTTATATCTATTGCACAGCACTGGCTCCAAATCCCTTTTGATAAGTAATGTCCTTTGCTATATATATAGTTGTTCCAAAGAAATATCAAGATATCACTGTGTTAATAAATGGAGAGTATAGCTTTAAAATTGTAAATTTAGCTAGTGGAAAGAATTTTCCATATAACATGTCCTTGGCATATGTTATATAGTGATTTGTCTATGTGTACTGTGTTCACTCCACTCTTCCCCTATATAATGTCCCTTATTCTGGCCATGCAGAGCAACTTGCCAAAATTGGGGGCCCTTTTGATAACATCAGCAGGCTTGTTGCTTGTTCTCAAATGGAGGGCTTCTGAAACGTTTCTTAAAAATGAAATTGCTTTCCAGGCATGGTGGCACACATCTGTAATCCTAGCAACTCAGGAGACTGAGGTAGAAGGATCTCAAGTTCAAGGCCAGTCTGGGCAACAGTGAGACCTCATCTTAAAAAAAATGAAAGAAAGAAAGAAAAGAAAGCTGGGAGATATAGCTTAGTGGTGGTGGTAGTGGCCCTTGGTTTAATTCCTAGTACCACAAAAAAAAAAAAAAGGAAAAATAAAATATACTATTACTTCATCAATAATAACTTCTTGATCATATCATGGATTCACCAGGAAGTATACAAACAAATCCTTAGCTGTAGCTAATTCTTTTTTCATTGTATTTCATTATTATGCTCTAACACGTTACTTTGTTACAGGTGGAGTAACTAACACCGCACAGTATCAGAACAGACTAATGGTATATGAACCTAACCAGGTAAGAATCATATAAGAAAAGCTCATTAACCTAATTAAAATGAATTTTTAAATATTCCCACAGGAATTAATAATTGGAATGTCAGGTCTGTACCTGCAAACAGTCATCTTAAGCTCATATAGGGATCGTGAGCTTATTTGTGTAAAATTTTTTGTTTACATTTTTGTTGTTATTGTTACAAAATTCCAGTTCCTCTAGTTTGTGCTATTCATAATGCGTCATTCTTTTAGAGCTTTGTATAATGCAGAAAGGATTGATTGTTCTATAGCTGTCCCCTCCTGGAAGGGATGCCATTGTAAGGGAAAAGCATGCTTGTAATTTTATTTTCAAATCAAATAACCAAAAAATATTTAACTTAATATAAACAACATTTTTTAGAACAGTACCTAAAATGCATTCAAGGTAAAAGTCTCTGAAGAGTTGAGTATATTTTTCATCCAATAGCTGGGGCCTAAATCAGAAGCATCCAGATTGTACCTGTTTGTCCACTTTTCATTGTATACTTAATGATGTTTGTGTCCTCCCAAAGAAATATTTTATTCTCTTTTCTTTCTACCAAAATATCTACAACTTTGGCAGATCCTAAAGAATTTTTCCATTTCTATGTTTGACAATACTCACAAGTGATTTGATTTTGAGGTTTATATTAATCAATTGAAGATATTGAGATATGAAACAACAGGTTGACCTTGGCAGTCTGAGTCAGGATTGACCACTAAAGATTTGTCTGTGGTCCTCAGTGTATTTGGTTATCTTTTTATTTTAGCAATTGATTCAGAATTTAATGAAGGCATTTCTCTTTTCACAAGTGTGTCTCCTGATGTCATTAGAAGCTGTAAATTTCAGAGACTAAATGTCCATGGGTCAGCTGTCTCAAGGGGGATCATTAATTGCAGTTGCTTGAGCTGGGTGCTTACATGGTTAAAGAGGAAGAAGGTGTTAACATTGCTCAAATGAGTTCTGTTTCATGTTTGTACACACATGCTCTTTTTAAAAATTCTGCTGGCATATTGTTTACGGTGGGTACTGGCAAACATCACATCTGCTTGCATCTTGCTCAGAATCTCAATAACTCTATCATTCAGCCCTGGTGCTTATTTCTCTTCTAGGCCTTTGTGGAGAGTCGATAATGCCTGCCATCTGCCACAGAGCACATCGCTACCTGCCAATAGGCAGGCTGGGGTGACCTCTGCTTCCCCACCACTGATTAGTATTCACACGCTAGCTTATTAGGAATGACCCCACCAGGCCTCCCTGTTTCTTTGCCTTTGCAGCGGTTGGCGGCTCACCTGACAGGCACTGCAGTGAAGGAAGCTAAAGATATAATCAGGGGATGTAGGCAGGCTTTGCAAACCAGATGGCATCTATAGTCTTATGGCAGGGGACTGGACTGCTAATACAAACATTGATTCCTGATACTATAATGGGTCATCTCATAGAAAGCACCTAAGAAAAGCATCATCAGAGTTTTTAGTTAAATTCACTCAAGTGTAATGTATTAAAGATATGTCTAAGCAAAACATCTAAAGAAAGACTTGATTATTTTATTAAAGAAGATATTTGATTAGAAGGAAATTCTTATTATAAACATGTTCAATGGGGAGCTGATAATGTACAAACAACTGTTTTTCCAGAGTGTATCTTTAAAAGAGAAATTAGAAATGACCTAGTATATATGCCTTTAGTGAATATATGCCCATAGTGTCTATACCTATGGTGAATATATGCCTGCAGTGTATATGCCAATGTTTAAACAGACATGCTTGTTGTTGCTGTTTGCTTCTTCCATTACAGCCTTGTGAACTAGTGATGTTCTATGTATTCAAAACATCATATGACTTTTTCTGGTTGAAATCCAAATTTTCCTGGCAAAAAAGGAAATTAGGTTCTTCCTGTGTGTTTAGTGTTTATGGAGAAATAAAATGGCTCAGTTTACTTACCTGTCCATTACTTGGTTGATATTTAAAGTTAAAGTCATATTTGAGTCTCTTCTAATTTTATAATTTATATTATATTTTAAATAAAACTCTTATTTTAAGCATGTACCCTCCTCATTACCAACAGTGACCTAGAACCAAATATTGAAGGTTCCACCATTCCTTAAAGTGCTCATATAAAACTTGACTTTCTACCAATATAAATAAACATGTACCTAGAAATGACTTCTCTCAGTTTGGCAAAAGTTGTAACTGTAAATATATTAAAGGATGACGATGCAAAGGAAATGTGGGAAGTTTGTTGCTGAACCAGACCTTAGCTCATCCATGGATCTCAGGTTAACTTTGGAGAGAACAGAAAAGCCACTCTAATCTAGCTTATTTAGGGGCCTACATGATTATTATAACAGTGATTATTAAAATAACTTATTTTTTTTAAGTAGACATGTATTGTACATTTATTATATATCAGACATTTCCCAAGTGCTTTATGTATGTTATCACATTTAATCGACTGGTTCATTGGGTAGGTATTAATTTCCCCATTAACTCCATCAGGTAGATATTGTATCCACAGATGAGAAAATAGGCACAGAGAGGTTAAGTAAATTGCTCAAGATCACACATGCGTTATAACCCAGGCATTCTGGACCCAGAAACTTGTTCCTAATCATTATGCTTAATCACTAGCCCCAGTATACCTTAGCCATGGGTTTTCACTCTTAAGTGATTTTTATCAGTAAATTCTCTGAAGTGGGTAAGATAACCATCATGAAAAGTTTTAGTGTTTCCCTTATAAAATGAAAAACTGTCTTATAAAATGAAACAAACAAATGAAGGGCCTTATAGAAATCACAAATAGAATGAGAATACATAGTTCTTTTGTACTTGTTCTCATGAAAGAAGCCTATACCTTTCAAGATATTTAAACAATATTCAAATAAAAGTGACTGATAAGGGGCTGGGGTTCTGGCTCAGTGGCAGAGCGCTTGCCTTGCACATGTGAGGCCCTGGGTTCGATCCTCAGCACCACATAAAAAGAAATAAATAAAGCATGATATTAAAAAAAGAAGTGACTAATGAACATTAGGGTTCTCACTACTAATGAGCTATCCACTGCTGTTTTATGCCAAGGAAGTCTCTTATTTCAGAATGAACTTGAATTTCTTTTTTTCAGAATAAGTGGATAAGCCGCAGTCCCATGCTCCAGAGAAGGGTCTACCATTCCATGGCTGCTGTCCAAAGGAAGCTTTATGTTCTTGGAGGCAATGACCTAGACTACAATAATGACCGGATCCTTGTGAGACATATAGATTCCTATAACATTGACACTGACCAGTGGACACGTTGTAATTTCAACCTGTTAACTGGCAAGTATCTTGATTAAGTAAATAAGTTTAAAAAAATAAAATAAAATGCCGATTCATGAAGTTGCCAAACTTGTTTTCTTAGACATCCATAGTGCATCTCTAAATGTTAAGTGCATAGTGGGTATAACAACCGTTTTTTTTTTTTTTTAAACTGGTTCTTTTTAGCTATACATGACAGTATATATACTTATACAAGCATGGAATATATCCTATTCTAATTAGGACCCTAGTCTTGTGGATATACACTATGGTGGGCTTCACTGTGGTATTCATATATATATACATAGGAAAGTTATGTCAGATTCATTCTATTGTCTTTTCTTTTCCTATCGCTCCTCCTCTCCCTTCATTCCCCTTTGTCTAATTCACTGAACTTCTATTCTCCCTCTCCCCTTATTGAGGGTTAGCTTCCAACTAACAGAAAACATTCAACCTTTGTTTTTTTGGGAGGATTGACTTATTCCACTTAGCATGATAGTCTCCATTCTATCTATTCACCAGCAAATGTCATAGTCATTCTTGTTTATGGCTGAGTCATACTCTATTGTTCTATACATGCCACATTTTCTTAATTCATTCATCTATTGAACAGCATTTAGGTTGACTCCATGGAATAGCTATTGTGAGTTGCTACACTAAGATTTCATCTCACTCCAGCCAGAATGGGAATTACCAACAATACGAGTAACAACGACTTGCTTTTATTATTAACCAGAAAGGCATGCATTATCTTTCACAAAAAAATTGGACTCCAGCACATGGCTGGCATCTCGTTTCTCAGAGCCTGTACTACCTCTGTGCATTCTCATGTGACTAAGAGAAACATGTCAAGACTGTTACCATCGATGAATATTCATATAGGAACTTTGATGCATGGGGGAGGAATGAGGCACTGAAAGAGTTAGCTCTTTTTACAGAAAAAATTTATTTTGTATTTCTCATTGTTTTGTTGTCTTATTTCTTGTGAGTTCAGGAGAATGGTCTTCATTATTTGTCACTGTCAAATACTGTTTCTGGGTGTAGTCTCCTAGAAATTAAATCTTAGAGTAGTTCTGTGAATAGGGGTTTGATCATGTTTCTGGCCACACATTCCATCCAAGCATTTCCACAGGTCAATCCTAGCTGTAGCCCATCCTCATCCCAAAGAATGAAAACAAAGCTGAAACGCAACTTCTAATATTTCTTTTTGTAAGTGAACTTTTTTTCTCCTGTCAACTTGCATCATTAATATCCCCAAACAATCAGGTAGCTATCAGGGCTGCTCAAATAATAGGAAAATCACAAACTCAAAATGGTGGGTTAGATTAGTTCCTGAAGACATTTTAATATGCTAGTGAGCATTCAATTAGTCAAGGCTGCTATTGGAGGGCAACATTGGGAGCATAACCAGAGATGTGTATGCTTTGTATTGAGCTCCTGTTTTTTCAAAATGATTTTTGAGGCCCATTACAAGTACTTAACTCTCAGTTGTGGTAGTACCTTAGATCCTCCATCTCTGGATCTGGATTCTGCCTGCTATAGAATCCAGCTTATTTATTACTCCAGTGAGTCCTGTGTCAGCTCATCAATAAAAAGGGACTCTTTCACTCTCTGATGGCCTCCAGGGAAGAATTTGTGTTCGTGAGTTATTTTGTCTTCTTTTTTGAAATGGGAGGGGAAACATTTCATCATTTTGGCGTGTCAGTATCTAGGGATTATCCACACTAGTCCCAGCTCAAGAACTTTAATATAATCCTAAAACTGTTGTGTATGTAAAGAAAGGGAGGGTAGCAACTTTATCATTTTTTTCTGCCATTTGTCTTCATTTAGGGCATGCTAGGGGCATGGCTCTGTTTTATTGGCTTTTTGAGGTTGTAGGTATTGGTTTATAGATGTAAGCACTTGCTTTAAAAGCATTTGTGGATGCAAAAAGAGTTTTGCATTTCTAAAATATACCTTATTTCTGCCATTATAAATTAATGGCATACGGCATAATATAGAACTCTTATTATGCTGTATTTAATATTACATTTACTAACTTTTCTGGCTAATAAATGTTTTGACTTGGTTTTGACCCAACACAGATTCATTCTCTGAGAAATAGTGGTTAATTCTCCATAATACTGGAGACAGTGATCAGTTGCTGTAAAAATCTCATGGAGTATACAGATGTACCACAGGGGAAAATTGTATCGTTCAGTGGCAAAAGGGTTAATTAAAATATGTAAGAAACAGATTTCTTTCTTTTTATTGTGTTCTCTTTACTTTAGGCCAGAATGAATCTGGAGTTGCTGTCCATAATGGGAGAATATATTTAGTCGGTGGATATTCGATTTGGACAAATGAACCCCTGGCTTGTATCCAGGTGAGTGGTTGAAGTTCCTTTTGAATTTGCTCAAGTGATTCAGTGAGGATGTTTTGTAGTGTAGATATTTGGCCTCTAGACTTCATGCTGTATCCTAAAAACTGTGCCTACTAAACAATTGAGCTCTCTTGAAAATACAGATAGACAGACACAGCTTTGAAAATAAGTGTAAAATATATCGGAAACTGAGATACCTTACCCTTTTGTTACAAAACAAAAAAATTTAAACATCTTTGGTAATAGTTTGTCATACTCCCAAAACTTTATGGATACCTCTTTTTCCCCGCATTACCTTATTTTCTGTATCACGATTTGTTCATTTCCATAAATGGCACTTTCAAAGGTTTTCTTCTTTCCTGGCAAAGGCTGTGAATGGTAATAGTTAATGGCTGGTCTGACAGGGACAGCCTCTGCCTCAAAGAAATAACCCTAGCTTGTCGGCATGTGAGCAGCCCAGGCTGGGCAGGTTGCCAGCTGGGCCTTCCAGAACAGCAGTGGCCTTTGTTGATATACATATTTAAGGTATTATTCCTATTATTATTTTATAATCCTTACCATAGTTTTCTATTTTACATGTTCTCTGATAAAATTCTGACATATATTAGCACTGACCTTTTTCCTGACAACCAGAAAAGTATATCCTTAAACTACTCATATTATTTAATCTCATCTTTGTGGAAAGATTTTTAACAACTGCTTCAGGATCTTTAATAATTTAGAACTTTCCAAGCTTTTTATTCTCCGTGTTGTCTAAGTTTTTGAAATTATAAGCATCTCATTGTGTTATCTTCAGTTACATCTCCCGCTCATTCATAATATTGTTTGCTTTTTTTCCTCCTGATTTTACTTGTCAGAGGTTTGTCTGGAAATTCTGACATACTTTTATCATTCATATAGATCAAGCAAAAAAAATGTCAGCAAGGAGAGGTTAGATATGAAAAATACAGCTAACAAGCTTGATGGAATGAATGTGAATTCTAGAGTGAACAGTTAGAATACATTTTTTCTTAGTATACATGAAGCATTTACAAAAACCTGTCATGTGCTTCAAGTTAAAAAAAATTTTCAATAAATTTCAAAAATTAAGTATGATTTAGTTTGTACCTCTAATGCAATGCAATTAACTTCGAACTTACCAACAAGTTGTGTAAACCCTTGTTTATCTGGAAATAATTAAACCCATAGCCACATAACTTATGGGCTAAAGAAATCATAATAGAACTTAAAAAAAATTCCCAGAACTGTGTGTAAATGAATACATAATTACATTTGTGACATAAATATAGCTCAATACATTAGAAAATGAATAAAAAAATAAGCTCAAAGAACATAGTAGATAAAAATAAGAGAAAATTAATGAATAAGGAAATGATGATATAATGGAAAATTATAAATCACATACGAAAAAAGAACATAATATTTGATGGGAGTTAATGAAAGGCTGCCTGGTATCTGCATAACAACAAATAAACTGTTCTCCTCAGGGTGCTTCTAGTCTTCATGCAAGCACATACTTGACAGCTTTCATAGTTCTTTAGCTATTTTTAATTTTTCACTTTTCAGAATTGGTGACAACATTTGAACTGGGCTACAGGCAGAGCTTTACAGTGCTGGACCACTTTTTTTAAGTGGCTTTGAGACCTTGTGTTTGATCATTTTCATAATGGAAGCAAGTCTGGTTTATCGCGAAGTAAATTTGAAAATTTCAGATATATTTTTGGGCATATTTCTACTAATTTTAATATTAAATTATCTCAAGGAATAGAAAACAAGTTGAAGCTATAACTTAATGAAAAAATAATGAAAACTTACTATATATATCAAACTTAGAGGACCAGAGTGCTCCTGTATTTTAAAAAAAACCCACACCTCCTGTTTTAGAATAGTCTTGAAAGTTAGGTTGAAGACATAGAAAATTAAGAAGCAAAACAAAACTTCATAGTCACATCTTTGGTTTTGTCCCCAAAGAGCTTTTCTTTAGAGCACTCACTAATGATATACACTAATTTATTGCTAATGATTTCTGGCTGTTCTCAAACAAGCAAACTTATCCTCAGGAGATGAATGATTGTGGCAAGTGTATCATCATCATCATTATCATGGTACTGGGGATTAAACCCAGGGGCATTTAACCACTGAGCCACATCCCCAGCTCCCCCCTCCCCATTTTTTTTTCTTGTATTTTATTTAGAGAACAGGGCCTTACTGAATTGCTTAGGGCCTCTCTAATTTGCTGAGGCTGCCTTTGAACTCACAATCCTCCTGCCTCAGCCTCCTGAGCCGCTGAGCCCCCATGCCTGGCTGTTTAATTTTATTTTGAGACAGGATTTGCTAAGTTGCTTGGTGCCTCCCTGAGTTGCTGAGGTTGGCTTTGAACTTGTGATCCTCCTGCCTCAGCCTCCCGAGCTGCTGGAACTAGAGGCATGTGCCACTATACCAGCAGTATTATCTCCCAAGTGTATTTTCAAACCACTGAGGATATTCATGAGTATTCTCAGGATTAAGGTGATTCTAAAAGTGGAGTCAAGGACATATTTAGCTATTTTTTGATACAGGGGAATGAACCCAGGGGTGCTTTACCACAAAGCTACATCCAGTCCTTTCTAATTTTTATTTTGAGATAGGTTCTTGCTAAGTTACTGAGGATGGCCTCAAACTTGTGATCCTCCTGTTTCAGCTCTCCAAGTCACTGGGATTACAGGCCTACCACTGTACCCAGGTCAAAAATGATTTTAATCAGTGTCTGTATTAGTGAAGTATTTCACCTTTGAGATTATACAACAAAATATCCTATGTATTTTTTTTTAAAGTCAGTGCTATGGGTAATTCTATATTCAAAAGCCATTTTGATGAACAGAACCAATCCTTTTGCAAATTCTATATTTATTCCCTTGGCTGGCACACTGGTCCTACAAAGTATAGATACATTTTAAAAATAAGTTTCTAAAAGTCTCTACTACTGGGCAGGGATTGTGGCTCAGTGGCAGAGCACTTGCCTAGCATGTGTGAGGCACTGGGTTCAATTCTCAGCACCACATAAAAATAATTTTAAAAAAGCCTGTTGATAACTAAAAAAAATTTTTTTAAAAGAATCTTTACTACTAACTAATGTAAGTGAGTATATGGATAACAGACTTATCATGTGCCTTGTATTTTAGTTTTAACAACTGGTTACTAGTTGTAATATTCTTTCTGAACTAAGGCTCAAATGTTTTATTTTATGGGTGACTATTTCTTTTGATGCATTAAGAGTATTATATTAATGGTTGGAGACACTTACCTGTTTGAAAGCAGGTCACTTGATGGAAAATAGCCAATAGGAGAAGTAAGACAACGGGATACTGAAACAACATTTATGAGAAAACTGTGGCTAGACAGTAGAAGTCTCTGAGTGCAAAACAGGGAAAGTAGAGGGCAGTGATGGTGAAAATCATATGCACACTAAAAATACCTGAGTTTAAAATTTTTATGTCATAAATAATAACTATATAATCCTTAACCCAAGATTGACACATCATTAATCCAGAGCATGGCCAATAAATAAAGACCATAATGAAATAGATCAGAAACTGTTTCACTAACATGGAGAAGGATTAAATTATTTTCTTTTCCCTTGAAAATGCTAGTCAATAATCTATCCCAGTAGATGCTCCCCTGGACCCTAATTCAGGTTCATCTAACAGTCATTTGTGGGTTTCAGCCACGTGGGATGATGCATGAGAAAGCATGCTGTTGCATTTCCTGCTACTGCTCTTAGTACAGACTATGATTCATCACAAGGACAACTCGAAAGAGAGAAAAGCTGAGAGGCTCTTAATTAATACTTGTTTGAAGGTTGAGATCTGGACTTGTTAGTAATAAAAACTCATGGGAAATATTGGAAATAGGTTCCTGACAAAAATGAAGGTGTTCTTGTTTATTCTGTGGTCATGTAAGAAAATTTCTGGCACAGGAGTTTGACTCTAATCTGGTGTGCCACAGATGACAAGTAGTACATAAGGGGGCAGCTGTGCAAGTGTGCAAGTGATTAGTCTGTTTCCAGATCACTTTTACTGTTCTCTTCATTTACTATTATTTTCTTTTGGCTGGAGATATGCTGCCAATCTGGCTCTGCCTTCTCCCAAATGCCTTCTTTCTGCCAGTTTAGGGGAGTGTTTTGGAGAAAAACTGCCAATGCTTCCTTTTCTCTTCTCAGATTAAATACATTACATCTGCTTAACATATGTAGTCTCTGTTGGCCCAGGCAACTGGACAAAAGCTCTGGATTATTATCTTACTGTTATTTTGCCTTCTAAACATGTACTCAGTTGGAGGGAGGAATATCATTAAGGCACAAAATCCAAGCTTTCTGGGTTGCATCCTTGAGCTCAGATACTCAGCGCCACCACGCAGTATTAAGTCACTTAATGTTGTCTGATTCTGTATTCTTTTCTGTAAATTGAAAATAACACCTAAACTTTCATAATTGTGATCTCTATTTTCTATATTCAATGAAATATTAATCAAAATCCCATTGAGATTTTCCTTTTCTCATGGGGTAGGCAAGTGATACTTGTCAAACTGATGATAAAATTTCTCTAGATGTTGGGTGCGGTAGTGCTGTAATCCCAGCAATTTGGGAAGCTGAGGCAGGAGGATCACAAGTTTGAGGCTAGTCTCAGTAATTTAGCTAAACTCTATCTCAAAATAAAAAAGGGTTGGGGATGTACCTCAGTGGTAAAGTACCCCTCCATTCAATCCCCAGTACCACACACACACACAAAAAAAAAAAGAAAGAAAAAAATCTCTAGGACAGTAAATGTATATGAATAACCAAGAAATATTTGAAAATGAATGGGGGAGACTTGCCTTTGTCAAAACAACTATAAATGGGATATTGCAAGAAACATTACTGAAACTGTAAATGGGATACTGAAAAAGAACAGCATTTATATTTAGTGTTAAGATAAACTAGTTAGTATCTCTAATACTACTTACTAATGTCAGGACATATTGTTCAATAAATAGTTTGGGACAGTTAAATGTCCATTTGGGGAAAAAAAAACCACATAGCTAAAAGTCTGGTTTTTCTTTTATTCTACCACTTAGTGATTTTTCCCTTTTATGAGCTTGGATCCCTTAAATTCAAGGGCTCCTTTTTATCTAAAATAATGCATTATTGCGTTAAAGGTTTATGAGTCAATCACATAGATGATAGATGAAGATGTGAGTAGACGAAAATCATTAAAGGAGTCTATCAAGAGGTTTGTGGTTGGATTTTGGTGGGTAGGGTGGCACACCTGTATCTAGAGTTCAGGTGAATGAATGGGACCAAAAGTGGATAGCAATAGGGCAATATCAATGACAAACTTTTATTTTAAAATCATAGACCCCAGGGCTGGGGATGTAGCTCAAGCGGCAGCGCGCTCACCTGGCATGCGTGTGGCCCGGGTTCGATCCTCAGCACCACATACAGACAAAGATGTTGTGTCCGCCAAATACTAAAAAATAAATATTAAAATTCTCTCACTCTTTCTTTAAAAATAAAATAAAATAAAATCATAGACCCCAAGGGAGAAAAAGTTTTAAATGAGATTAGAGGAAAGTCAAATGAACAGAGATAAAGATGATAGAGGGCTGGAAAGAGCCTAATAGAGTTGACACATGGAGGAGAGCAGCATTTTCCTTAGCAGGGAGGTGAAGTTGGATTCAGTTAGGTGACAGCAGGCACAGTCTAACAGAAGCTGTACCTTATAAGAAAAGAGACAGAACTCCAGCTAGAAGTGGAAATAACCGGGGAAAAATTTCCAGAATCAACTGAACTAATTTTGAACCTGCTACTAAGCTGTTATAATATTTTACTATGTGCCAGATGCTCTGCTAGATATCACGTTTTCACGATAAAGCTGCAAGGTCTTGCATGTTTTCTTCATTTTATAGATGAGAATCTGTAAGCCAATATTATGACACTATCTACCAACTAGTTTGAACAAGCTATTTAATAAGTCTAAGACAGTTTTATTAAGCGAAGGTAATAACTACTAACCTCTTACTGAAGATTAAATGTTTATAAACACACACACACACATATTACCTATAAATATGTACACACAGTCTAACACTTAGTAGGAACTTAATAAATATTTCTGGTACCATCCTAAGGTATGGTGATGATGGCATGACCAAGTTTAGGTTCAGGCTTACTTTGAGTATACAGCTTTAAATAATCATCATCTCTTCTTATTTTGTAGGTATTGGATGTAAGTAGAGAAGGCAAAGAAGAAGTGTTCTATGGGCCTACACTCCCTTTTGCTTCCAATGGAATAGCAGCATGCTTCCTCCCAGCCCCATATTTCACATGCCCTAACCTTCAAACTCTTCAAGTGCCTCATCACAGGATTGGCACCATCTGAAAGCCAATGCTCTGTTAATAACTATCATACCAGGCGGAAAAACAAAGGGTGACTGTTGGATACTGGGCATGAAGAGCCTCAGTGCTTAATGCTTCCTTGTTTTGTGTTATAGGTCTTATATTCACATAAATATTAGCAAAAAAATGAACAATTTTCTAAAATACATTATTGAAAACTCCTGTCACTCTTCTAAGTGTATGTCAACATACAATACAATATGTATGACTTTTACTGTGATGTAGCTTAGTGTCAACTTAATGGTACATTATTGTTCCATGGATCTTTAAAACATTCTTTATATACTTTTTCTAATCAGTGCTGTCTAGGACAATATGACACTGTTGGTAATGCAGTTAATTTCACACAATGGCATCAATGATCTCAAAATCTTCCACACTTACTCCCTTTACTACTCAAACATGAGCTTCTAATTCTTCTTTTTAAAGTTTAACATTATGCAGCCCTGCTCAGTAGAGAGTCAGCATTAGGACATCATAAATTTTTAAGTGCCATATTTTATTCAAGGTGATGCAAATAATAGAAGTACACTGGAACAGCAGTTGGAATATCCAGAATTTTTGCCTTGGTTACTCTGACCTTGAGCCAGAACTTTTTGGTACTGTAGTCTTCCTACCTTTTAAGGAGGATCATTACTGATTTCCATATTAATTCAAAAGAATGTTGTGAGCATTAGGCAAATGCTCTGAAGTACTTCCCCTAAGAAAAACAATGCTACTCAAATTATGAGGCATTTCACAATCTTGAGAACCGTGTAACTGAATCAGATTACTTTTACGTTTAGAAATTACTAGATAGGATTTGGAAAACATGCTATGAAATAAATGATTCTGAAAAGCATGTGAGACATACACCTTTTCTAACCAGAAAAAAGAACGTTTACCAATACCAAAGATATCTAAATTTCTAAAATCCTTGCTCAAATAATAACTCTTAAATTAAGTCTCATTTTAAATCACTTAGTGAAAAATGACATTTTAAAGCTAAAAAAAAGTAGTTGTACTAATTATGGTACCATAAAGTGCTTTGACATAAATTTGAACTTAGAATTGGCAGTTCTAATAAAAGTTTTCCATTTTGTTAAAGGTTATGTCAATCTTGAGGACTTGTGGGAATTTTCACCACCACTGATACATATTTTATTACGACCACTTTTAATAATGCATAAGAATTCATTTTTAGGCTAGGTTTTTGGGTTTGCTTTGTCTATGACAAGAAAATAAATAAAACAATAATCACATTTGAACATAAATTCAACAAGTGTAAGTGAGTTTCTTTTTTCCTAATCTCACCAGGACTTAAGGTCATCTATATTAAAAGGAATCCTTTACTCTGACCTTTTCCCTTCAGCACTTTAATCATTTAGCAATTCCTCACTTATAGAAAATGTCATTTTATTCACATAACCATATTTAGTAATAAAAATGAATAAAAAAATTTTATCATAAATACAGAATCCACTGACTTTATACACTCTTATAAGATACCTAAAACATTATTTTAAAAAATATATGGACCTATGCAATCTCCTTAAAACACAATTTTTTCCTCCAGCAGTTTACCCTTAACCCATTAAAATCTATTTGTAGAACCAGACTCTACATCCAGGGAGTGAAAGGGAAATGGCCTAAGAATAATCTTGCCTGAAAGATAATGGAAAGGTAGACTTAGACTACCCTTTATTATTTCTGGACAGATTTCTAACTCTCAAATAAAACAAACCAGCATATATTATCACATCCTCCTTGGTGATCCTTATAAAATATTATTCACTAATGTAATCTAGTATTGAAGTCAGAATTTTAAAAAGTTTTGCATAGAGTTGAATGCATCTTTTACAGTAAGCTATAGCCAAACAGTAGCATCAAAAGTAGAATATTTCTTTTCTAAAGAGAAAAAAACCCAGATTGCTTAGAACTAGGCCCTTTTACTCGAAATTATCATTAATCAGAAAAAAAATTCTATAAAACCATTTGGTTGGTCATATAAGCCAAATTCCATTAAATTGTTCAAATATAATATTTTCTATTTAAATATCCTGATTTATCTTCCATTTTGAGTCTGCAAAATTAAAGGCAATTATATTGCATTTTAATTTCTACAGAAACCCCTAAGACTTCCAAAGATTAAAACATCATTTAGAGATTTTAGTTTAAAAACAGAAACAAAAAGTAGTACCACACAGATCTTAGTAGAATATTCTCAGTGTTCAAAGAAAAATGAGCAAAGACATAATTCTCTATAATAATGTAAATGTTAAAATGGAGCACATTCCTTAAATCTGTAAGAACAAAATGCCTTTTAGGTTATGATTAGGGTACTTTTCATACTTTTTCCCCATATTTTCCTCACACCTTAAGTACATGTTTATTGTACCCCCTTCAGCCTCTGCAATAGCTGAAACATTTTTATCATTTTACCACAAAATGTAAAAGCAACAAATTATTTCTCCAGGTAATATGGCTTATTTTTAGTTTGCTTTTCAAATAGTGAATCTGTTATAAAAAGGAAGGAAGTTGAATAATCATGGGAATAATTTACGTCAAATATATAGATTTTATAAACACATAAATTTAATCTTTATTATAGGTACAAATAGCTTATAACTCTGCATATAAAATAAGAATGTCCAAATTTTTTTCTAAAAGCACAATTCACAAATGCAATAAACTGAATATCACATACTAAACATTCTAACAAGTAAAAATTGGTCAATTACAATCTGATTTTGGTAACCTTACCCATACAGGTTATCACAGAGTGAAAACACAACTCTAATTAAATATGTGAAAGAATATGTTATTTTGCTAACTTCCCAAATCAACTGTTCTAAACAAATAAAGCATATTATTTATATTGGTATCCTACACTCTTACCTGACAAGGTAAAGAGATCAGTTTCTGGAAGATGTAGGTTGTTGTAAAAAGCTATCAAAAAGTAGTGGCTTAGTATAGACAATACAACTTTTGATGAGGTTTCTATGATATTTACCTCTGATCTTTTAAATATGAGTGCTATGATATTATGTAGGATTTAGGGACAGATTTCTAAAAGGGTTTCTCAAATGCAGAAGCTTAACTGGTAAAGATTTTTTTAAGTACATGGGAACAGGTTCATGCAATTCTTTAAGAATAAAGAAGCTTTAAAAACTGTAATAAAGGGCTGGGGTTGTGGCTCAGTGGTAGAGCACTTGCCTCACGTGTGAGAGGTACTGGGTTCAATTCTCAGTACTGCATATAAATAAATGAATAAAATAAAGGTCCATCAACGACTAAAAAAATATTTTAAAAAACTGTAATAAAGCATTGTTCAATGGGTAATAAAACCCATGAATGGTCTAAGACCTACAAATAATTTCTTAAATAGACATTGATATAGGAAAAGTCAAATACAGTCACAGATCACATAACAGAGATACATTCTGAGAAGTGCATCATTAGGCAAATATCAGAGTGTACTGACATAAACCCAGATGGTATAAATCAGTCACTTGATGTGACATCTTGATGCAGTCAAGAGATGTAACAAACAGGAGATGTATGAGGCTGTTACCAGTGTAACATGACACCCTATTTTACAGTAAACATTTTTAAAATAAATGTTCTAAAATAATGATTAAAAAGTATAGTATAGTAAATAATATGCCAGTAGTAGTCATTTATCATTATCAAGTATTATGTCCTGTACATAATTGTATGTGCTTTACTTTTATGAGTGGCAGTAATGTAGGTCTGTTTACACCAGCATTACCACAAACAAGTGAGTTATGTGTGGTGCTGTGATGACACAGTGACTCTATCACTAGGCCACAGGACATTTTTAGCTTCCTTATAATCTGATGGGATCACTTTGGTACATGTGGCCCATCACTGACTGACATGTTAAGAAGCACATGACTGTATACTTAAGAGAATACAGGTAGAGACATACAAGTTTTAAACTATGAAATTCTTCTAATGCAAATGAACTCAACACGGAATGATTTTTTGCACAGAGAGGATCCTCCATGTCTTTTTTCCCCTCCCCTATGGAAACCTTCTAATTAAATGTTAACTAAATTGAAATTTAAATCATAAGCAAATCCTAATGTCTGATTTAAAGGATGAAAAATCCTTTCATCACTCTGTTGCCCTTCAATCATCTTTTACATCCCATTTGGTATTTTATAGATATTATTTGAGTGGAATGCTCACAAATCCAAAGTGTATATATTTTTTCTTCCTGTTTAAATGTCCTAAGCTTCTGTATAAATGAAATGTATTTCATTTTGATTTTTATATAAAGTATGATACTCCCAGCATGAATGAGACCGAGAGTACAATGGACATGGCATCCAGAGAAAACAGCTAAATCTTTTGTTTGGAAAGTGTTAAGTCTGATAAACAAAAACAAAAACAAAAACAATTCAGTCAAAATGGCAGAAAAGCTCTAGACTAAGGAGTCTTAACATCAACTTATAAACAATGGGAAGTTTTTGGAGGTCCTGCAGCTGACAACTAAACAAGAAAGTAGTATTTTAGGAACACTGATTTCAGAACAATGTGTAGGATAAACTGTAGAAAAGGGGACCAGAGGAAAAGAGATGAAGAGATTGTAGTGATCCATGGCGGGGTGTAGGGTGGTGAAGTTTGGATGCAAGGAATTGCAAAAAAATAAAATAAAATAAAAAAATGCCCAGGAGCCTGTATAGGCCATCAACTGAAAATTGGGAGCAATCAAAAATCTAAGATGCTTCTGAAGTTTCAAGGCCAAGTATCCTGGGAAAATAGGATATTCCCAGGGTAGAAAATGAAAGCAGGAGCTAGTTTGGGCAGCTTAACATACTGCCTCTTAAGATTTCAGGAAGATGCAACTAGAGAGATTTAAAGAGAAATTAGCACTAGAAATATACCTGAGAGATAAAGTCATGAACTAGTGTTATCAGTCCACTACTAAAAGGATGTTGGGGCAGAACAGAGGAAGAGGATGGGAAAGAAGACTTCTGGTACTCTCAAGACACAGTAGAAGCAGGAAACTTTGCTGAGGAATGGATGGGAAGATATGGGGAAATGTGAACATCACAGAGATGCCAAAGAATGTGAGAAATGAACACACATTCTCATATTTGACCAAAAGAGTTTGTAATGTAATGTTTACATTACAGTGGTAAAAGAAGCAGCCTCAGAAATGACAGGGTACTTATGGGGAAATGAACATTAGAGAAGCGGGCATAAGGTGAAGTCTGGAAGTAGAAGAAGGAAAGATTGTAATAATAAAGGATAAGAGATTTTCAAGAAAAAGAACTGAGCCATAAATTTGTTTTTTCCCCAATTAAAAAAGCAGCTTCTTTAAAATTTGACTTATAGGGGCTAGGGTTGTGGCTCAGTGGTAGAGTACTTGTCTCGCACATGTGAAGCACTGGGTTCAATCCTCAGAACCACATAAAAATAAATAAAGGTATTGTGTCCACCTACAACTAAAAATATATTTTTTAAATTTTACTTATATGTAAATAAAAAATGTGTATGTATGTTATTATAGTCTTTTGTTGTTATTGATTTTTAATTACAAACTTCAATTACTCTTAGTATTTACAGATATATGCCCTAATGAAGGATTCCATAACAGTTTTTCTTATCCCTTGAAAGTTTTATACTGTAAATTCTAAAATTGTCCTTGGGGGAACCAAAAAAATGAAAATAAAAAAATAATAACTCACCCCTCTTGAAAAGATATTGCCTTAAAGAGTTAAAACTCCTTTAACTGCTGGTACTTGCAAAGCATACATTATTAGTTTAGTAAGTCACTATTATAATGAAGAGAAAATTATTGTTATGAACTCTATTAAGCAGGATTAAAGAATATTCCATTTGTGACAGTTGACTTTGGGGAGAAACAGACCATTTATATCATGAAAATAACAAATAACAGCTTTGGAACTCACAAATTACAATTAGGCAACAATTGTAACTAGAAAATGCTGATTGCTTGCTTGCTTGTTCACCTTATTTGTTTATTTATATTTATTTTTAACATTTTTCCACTTGGGGGATGGAACCTAGGGTCTCACACATGCTAGATAAATGCTAGATAAATGCTCGACCAGTGAGCCACACACAACCTTAGCCTCTATTTCATTTTAAGATACTTTCTGAGCCAGAAAAGGGTTAAAAAGTTTTCTTGAAGGATTAATGTAACCATGATAAAGACTACAATTCTAAGAAAGAAAGAAATTATTTCAAAGTTAAACATGACTTGTAAAGACACATTGAAAAAAAAGTGGGCTATGTCATTAGAGAAAGGGAAACAAAATTGAAAGATGTTCTTTACTTTTATCATGTATGAATAATGTAGCAATCATATAAGTACACCATGATGTAGAGGAAAACATTTTTACATATATCATTTCTCTGATTCCCATAATAGCATTGTGAATTTTGAACATGATTATTTTTTCTCCATGAAGGAATTAGGCTGAGAAATGGTAAGTAACCTGTACAAGGTCACAAGTAGAGCTGGGTTAGAGACCTATGTGGGTTCCTAACACTAGGACTGAAACTTTACCACATCAAGACCAACTGGTAAAACACAATCTGGATGAGAGTTAAAAAGTAAAGAAAAAATAGTTATGAAAGGAAACTAAATTGGTTCTCTAAACTTACAAGATGCCAAATTATACAAGCAAGGATAGAGATCAGCTGACTTCTTAACTTTTATGTAATCTTAAGAAGTTTCCAGAATATTTTTATTTATTCTTTTTTTCTTAAAGACTCTTATTTTTTTCCACCTGATGTCTTTTAATGACAACTCCAAGCTAGATACTTTTGGAATAAGTTTAAAATCTTTTTAGGTATTATCTGTGTAATCCTTAAGTCAGATTCAGCCTGAATCCTAAGAGAGTTAAGTATACTTTGTAAGGGTTTTATTTATTAACTTGCCTCACACATAGTATAAAGGAAAACAAATATGCATCTCTAAACACCCACCTCCTCTAACAAAAACAAAAACAAAACATACCACCAAAACAAACAAACAAACAAAAAAAAACACACAAAAACAGAGCAGGTCAGCCAGGTAATTTGAAAAAGTAGCCTATTAAAACAGAAGGTGTAAAAAAAAAAAAAAAACCCAACAACAACCCACACACACAAAACACATCAATCACAAGACAGGACATCACATTATAGTAAAAAGTCCATGGATGTACCAGAACAAACCCGCATAGTACTCATACACAGAAAACATTTCCAGAAAAGGCTTCTTTAATTTAGTTTAACCAAAATTTCTTCAAACTAGATTACAGTTTGGCAAAGCTCCAAGGATCCTATTACATAGTTACTAATTAATCTTTATTTCCTTATTCATATATTTTATACTTATATAAGAAAAAAATCCCAGAAAGCATTTTTTAACAGATCATTATATAATTAATTAAAAGTAGGAGATGGATTAGTTCAAAGTAGTTTTAGATGACAAGCAACAGACAGGGTGATTCACAAAATATATGCATTGTCATTTTCCAATCTCTGCATCTCATCTTGTCCCATCTGTCCTAGGTGAGATAAAAGTTTTCTATAGGATTCCCTGTTTAAGAAAAAAGAAAAGAAATAAAATATACTTATTATCTTTTTCAGCATTTTTCCACTTGAATATTTACAAATTGAAACCTGTCTGTGGGTCTAACTATCCATCCATCCATTCATTCATCTACCAGATTTATTAAAACACTTTTAAAAAAAGGTACTTTGTATATTTTGTGAGTAAACCTAGATGTTAGGATTAATTCAGTTTTTAAAAGTATGATTGATATACATATATATCAAGTATGGATTAAAAATGACACAAAGTTTACTAACCATCTGCAATGACATAATGCTACTAGGTAATGAAATATAATCATGAAATAACTTACAGATAGGAATGGTATGCTTATAACGGGAAGACTTGTTTTGAAAACTAAAAATGAAAATAAAAGTTTTATAACCATAAAACAGAACAGTATAATACTTTTAGTATACGCCCTATTTTCTTCTTTATCTTCTTAGAAATAACAAAGTTTGAAACTAAAATATTGTTGCTCCTATTAGATTCTCTAGTATTTCCCTGTATCTGAAATGTGTTTTAGATTTATTGTGCCTGGCAGTTATTTCATTAGACTAAATATCTGTGCTATTCAGAATTGTTAAAACCAACCCTCTCATGTCCCTGCTTGCAAAGTAGTATAATAACAGAACACTTGTTCCCAACAATGTACTATGTTAGGATGTTTCATGTAATCTCTTCAGTTTTTTCATTTGCATGAGCTTGTTTAATGACATGACAATGAACATCATTTCTTTAAAGCTATGATTTAAAGTGACCCAATCTTTTCTCTCTGGAAAATAAGAGGCTAGCCACGTTACTGTGTAAGAGAAGAAAAGAGATGTTCTACCTTAGCACAGAAAAACTATTCCCTGACCCTCCTTTTTAAAAATTTCCATTTATTATACTGAAAGATGCAGTCCATTCGTTTGCTAAAGCTGCAATCAGTATAGTCATGTCTCCAAGAATGGTCTCCAATATGACATTATACAATTAAAATTTCTCAACTAAAACCTGGAACATGCATGTTTATTAGATTGTGCATGTGTACACAGGAACACAATTAAAAGCATTTGATTCTATAATAAACTGTAGGACATAAGAATCCTAGTATGAGTACTGACTGATCTAAAGTAATCTCTTTAGGAAATATAAACATATTCCTACAGAATTATATTTCTCTAAATAGTCCAGCTATTTGGTTGGGTTATAAGTCTATAAAAAATTTTTTTAAAAAGTCTTATCTATTCCCCCCCCAAATCTGTTTTATCTAATTGGGTTACTTACCTTTATCATATGGCTATGCATGATAAAGTTGACTCAATAAATCTAGCGTCCCTCAAAGGATTATGAATTGGCACTATGGGTTTTATAAAATAAGATACATGAGGCTCTGAAACCCACTTCACGAAGAGAAACACAAGTGTTTTGAGCAATAGTAGTTCTACTGAAATATAGAGCTTTCTAATATGGTCTTTGAAAGGAAGTACACAAGAAAGGATGTGTGGATTCTGCTAAGTTTGTTGATAAACCACAGTATTTTTTAATCATACTTTACAAAACTGATAATAATCCCAATATTGAAATATTTTTCAACTGAAAAGAACACATCCCAAATTTTGGGGAATGAGAAAATAGCCATTTTGATAAAATGAAATACAGATTTCATAAACATTGTCCAAAAGAATGCAATTAAATGAGCAAACATACCTTTGTTCAATATTTTTGCCAAGGCCCAATTTCAATTCCGAATCCTTCAGAGATTGAGTGAGGGTAGAAATCAAGGAGATGACAACCTGCTGCTTCAGTGTTGCTACTATCTCTAAAATGCTGTAAACTTGATGACTGTATCTTACACCATAATCCTGGATAAACTGCCTGTGAAAGTAAAACACATCACTCAAAATTCTGGAGTTATTCTTTGAGTTGGTGCCTACATTGCAGTCAGCCATAGCCTAAGCACAAAAATGATCACTTCATGTAATATTATCATGAAAACTATATTTAACATGGAGACTACTATTAGTACTTTAAAATAGAGGACAGAAATGTCCTATTCCTGTGTCATCCAAGACCAGTGATGGTACTGGGGATGAGGAAGGAGCTGGAATCCTAGGAGGATAAATTAAGGGGAAAAAAATCTAATTCCAGAGACTCTATGCTATACTTTCCGCATTAAAATGAGGGGAAGCAAGAAAGAGTGTGGAACACACCAAAAGGGAGAAGAAAGTCAGATATCCTTCGTATCTCTGGATAAACAGTATGCTAACAGGGAAAGCAAAATATTAAAAATAGACCTTTATTTTCTTTAAACTGAACAGGAACCTTAATACCAACAGAAGCCTTTATGAACAAAACTATCTTTTAACCCTAAAATTTTCACATCCCATCGACAAAATGAAAGCCATCTAACATAATAAATTGTAGATAACAAACATGGAATCTTTGATCACATAAAATAATTTTCCCTCTCCTTGGACTCCACAATCTTCACAAATCCACAAATGGATCACAACTTAAATAAACTGAATAGTAGATATGTGCCAAAATATAATGAGAAAAAAAACTGAATCAACAAAGATCCAACATAGAACAAAGGAAATGGACCCTAAATTATTTGTTACGGTGGTAGTAAGATAGAGATATTTATAATGAGGGTAAACTTATAAACCTTGATAAAGAAATATTTAAAAAAATACTGCCCTCACCGAAAGCATAAGACTCTAAAGGGGACAAGGCAGGAAAGAGGAAAAAAGTAATTCTCAAGTGGCACTGTTATTCTTATGAACAACAAACCTACTCCTATAAAGTCCATACCTCACAAATTAAACATAAGAGAGCCTTCTGAAACTAAAGGATCCAAAGCAAACCAGAAAACCAAGGACATATCCTTTTAAACTGTACACTGAGCAACATGCTTAAGCAAGCTCCGGAGCCCTGTGCACATGCCATCATGACTCCTGTTTCTCACCTTTTCTTCTCAAATACGTGCAAGAATCTTTGAGGAAATTCACAAGTCATTTCAAGTCAGCTCCCTTATCTGTTTCCCTGGCATTTTTATTTTTCAATAAAACAACACAATGTAACAAAACTACTGCCAAAAATACAATAATTGAAATACTATAAATAAGTAGTAACACATTATGTTTTGGATAATTAGTTATTTAAAAAACATGCTGGCTGTCAAATGGCTGGCAACAGTTTCCTTGCCAGTTGGCATATTTTCTAGTTACCTAAACACAGAAGTCAGCTGGGCGGCAGGTTCTCCTTCTGACCCCACTTGGCAGGCTTTTACCACGTACTGTAGGTTCTCGGTGGCCAGCCTTTTAACTAGGAGGAAAATTATAGCATTACACACTGTGTCTGAATTGACCATCTGGATCCTCATTTTTAACACTCTTAATTTAGAAAAAGATGTGTTTTCTTGAAGTATCTACATGTTTTTTTGCTAATTTTCACAATGAAATAGTTACAAATTTTGTTTTGTTCTAGAGTATACCGAAAATGTTTAAAAGTCTATTTTTGACTCTTAAAATTGAAAATAACACATGAAGATATGTTCTTCTCTTAGAAAAGTGTTCATATTCAAAAATACTACACCAACATAAGCCTGCACACACTGTTACACATTGACAAAAGAAAGCCCTTCAAACCAGCTGACTGATGATAGGCAGATTGATTGGTTTTTAATTTATAAATATATTCCTCCCATTCCTTCAGAAATACATAAAAAGCAAATCAGATACCACCTATAATCTATCTTCACTTAAAATTAGCCAAACATACATAAAAACTACTTATGTTATCTTCCTTTCAAAAGATAACAAAGTCTCAAATGAATATTTGTATTCTTTAAATATTTTAAGAAACACTTTAGAATTGTATGCTTGTATACAATAGTGCAAAAACATTCCTATAATTTGAATCTTAAATGTGTTCCCAAAGGCTCATGTGTTAAAGGTTTGGCTCCCCATCTGTGGTGCTATTGGGAGATGGCAGAACACTTTAAGAGATGGGGCTTAAGGGAGGAACTTGGGTCACTGTGGTGTACCGTTGAAGGAGATATTGGGACACCAGCCCCTTCCTTTTCCTTTCTTTTCTTCCACTACTATGAGGCGAACAGTTTCCTTTGTCATATGTGCCTACCATATGATACACTGAATCCCCACCGGCTCAAAGACGACAGAGCCAACCAATCATGGACTGAAACCTCCAAAATTGTGGTCCAAAATAAATCTTTCCTCTTTTTAAGTTGATAATCTCAGTTATTTTGTTACAGTACTGCAAAGCTGACTAATACAAATATCAAGAAAGAATACAGAAAACCCAACATGTTCTGAATGCTTTTGTCACGATTTAGGCATATTAAATATATGTATCCAGGGGGGGTGGGAAACCCAGTGTTTTCTCTAAGAATAAGAAAAATTTTAGAAATTGTGACCCATTATAATAGGAATACAAAACATGATGAATATAAACTTAATTAATAATAAATAGGAGATAATGTTTTTTTATGGTATGAAGCTAGTAAATAAAGAACACAACAGTTTACAATCCTAGCGGCTCAGGAGGTCTCAACAAGAAGCCTCAACAGAAGGATTGCGAGTTCAAAAGCAGCCTCAGCAAAAGCGAGGCACTAAGCAACTCAGTGAGACCCTATCTCTAAATAAAATACAAAATAGGGCTGGGGATGTGGCTCCAGTGGTTGAGTGTCCCTAAGCTCAATCCCCAGAAACCCCCCTCCAAAAAAAAAATGTATACAATTCAAAGGTTTTAAGCATTTTCACAGTTTTGAACCATCATTACAGTCAATTTTAGAATATTTTCATTATCTCAAAAAGAAACTCTATTTAGTATCACCTGACTCCTCTTAATCAACTACTAATTTTCTTCTTCTCTCTATAGATTTAGCTATTCTGGGCACTCATATAAAAAATTGTGTTTTTGTTTGTTTTAAATGCCAACTTCTTTTACTTAGAATCATGTTACAAGGTTCATCCAAGTTACAGTATATATCATCAGTTTTTCATTTCCTTTTGTAGGCCAACTAATACTACATTATATGGATATATAAAAATTTTAAATTATCCATTGGTTAAAGGACATTCTACATTTTATTATACTATATACTATTGCTATGAACATGAATGTTCTGATTTCTATACAGAAGTGTTTTTGTTTCATTTCTTTCTCTATTAGAAAAGTATCTATTCATATCTATTACCCATCTCATTTTTCAATTCAGTTGTCTTTTTATTATTGAGTTTCGGAGTACTTTATACATTCCAGATACAAGTTCCTTATCAGACATCATTTGTAAATAATCCTCACAATCCTGGGTTGCCATTCCACTTTCTTCTTGTTATCCTTTGAAACATAATAGCTTTTAATTTTTATTAACTCCAATTTATCTCCTTTTTCTTTTGTGGTTATACTTTTGTTGTCAGCTCTAAAAATCTGTTGTCAAATCCAAGGTCAGAAAGACTTACCCTTATCCTATGCTTACTTCCAAGAGTATAGTTTTAGCTTTAAATTTAGATTTCTGATTTATTTTGAGTAAATTAGATGTTCATATAGAACTCATTATTGTTATACTCACTCCAGTTTTTTTGGTTACCTTTCTACATATTAATCTTACTGGACTTGTTTTGTAACAAAAATCATTTTTCCTTTCCTGATTTCAAATTTTTCTCCTTGCTTTAACTTTTTGAATCTTTACTATAATGTGTCTGTCTGTAGACGTCTTTGTGTTTTCCTTACCTAGAGTTAGCTAAACTTCTTGAATGTATGTATTTTGGAAATCTTTAGCCATTATTTTTTTCCAATATTTTTTCTGTTCCTTTCTGTCCTCTTGGTTCACCTATTATACATATGCTGGTGTACTTAACGGTATCCCACAATTCTCAAAAGCTCTGTTCATTTTTTTTCATTCTTCTTCTTTCTTCTTAGACTGTTTAATATATATTGATCTATCATCAAGTTTGCTGATTCTTTCTACTGCCAATTTCAATCCACTAGAGAGCCCTCTGGTAAACTTGCCAGTTCAGCTGCTATATCTTATCTCCAGAGTTCACATTTTTTCCTATAATTTCTCTTTATTCATATTCTATATGTGATGTGACATTGTTAATATAATTTCCTTTATTTATTATGTTTTCTTTTAGTTATGTGACTATATTTAAAATAACTCCTATCACATCCAATGTCTGATCCTTTCTCTAGGAGTTTCTGTTGCTGGCTCCCCACCCAGTATATAAATTGTAATTTCTTTTCTTTACATGTCTTTTAATTTTTTTGGTAGAGAATTGGATATCTTTTCTTTTTTGGGTGAAGTCTACTCCTCCAATGGTATAATTGAAATGCCAAGTTGCTGATGCTTTCCCCCAGTGATGTAATTGGCAGGTTTCTCTTTTAACTATCCCTTTCTTTGATTACATCCAGGTGCTTAAAGCTCCACTGATTAATTTCTGGACAATAGTTCTATTGTTTTAAATAATGCCCTGGGGCATAAATTGCTTTACAGGCTGATCCAATCAAATTCAGGATCCTTTGACAGGATGCTTTATGGGGTCAGTGTCTGAAATTTATTCTGACCCAAGGGCTTTTTGTTGGCTTTTTCTTTTACTGATTCACTCAACCTGGCTGGCCTATAAATTAGTGTTATATCTCAGATGAAAATTACCAATTTCCCTAATGTATATCACCTCCATTTTCATTGTTTTTAAGAGTACTCAGTATGAATTTTTCCATATTCTGTTGCCAATGGAGACAATTATTTTACAAGAAATTCAAAACTCTGTTCTATGGCTTGTTTCTTGCTTGCTTCCACCCAGGCAAAAATCTCAGAGGTATATCTTTGGTGTTGAGCGTGAAGACAATGGTGCCTACTATTTTGTGCAACATTCATTTTAGGAGCTGAGAATCCAGGAAATAAAGGGAAATAGGCCTAAGACCTCTTGACTTGCTCTTCTTGTTATCAAACACCTGCCCCCAACGGTGATCAGGTCTTTCAGTGCTGCTGGACTCATTTATGGTCTGTCCCACTAATGGGGCTGAGCAGAGGACTGGAACCCCTACCTCTAGGCCATACTTACCTAGAAAAGAACTTCAGCATTAAGTAGCCAAAGCTACCTATTCATATCCTCATAAATATGAGAAATATTTGTCCTCTCTCTCCTAGGATGATATCCCTCCTATTGTGAGCTAGGGAGAGAGGGAGCCATATATTCTTGGATTAAGTAGTCCTAGAATAGAGTTACTGCCTTGATGTGCTTGGAAGGAACAGGAGGGAGTGGTCTTGGTTCAATACCCGGGACTCTGGCTATTCTTATCACCTTTTAGTTCTTTCCTTAAATAAATGTTTCTCTATTTGTTGTTTATTCTTAATATCCTTTCCAGAGAATTTAAATGCTGTCTTTAAATATTTTTCACCTGGTTTGATGGTTAATTAGTTATGTTATTATGCTAACAGGTACGGGTTTTTGAGTAGACATGTTGTCAATACTTGTAGGCATATACCTAGGAGTGGAACTGCTGATTCATATAATAACTTTAGATTTCTATGATTTTTCAGGCTTTCCTTTTAAACACTGAGACCATAGGTAAGTCACAGAAAATTTTCTCTAAAACTTGCAAATCCACTTCATATTTCTCCTCTGGCTTATAGAGAATACAATACAGAGAATACTATATTCTAACTATATTGAACATGTGATCTATTTACTAGTTAGATGTGAGCTCTAACTAGCGGTCTCCTTAATGATAAAATGTTAGTATCATCAACAATGATTTTTTTGGGGGGCTGTGACTGTGACTCAGTGGTAGAGCATTTGCCTAGCACACATGAAGCATTGGGTTTGATCCTCAGTACCACATAAAAATAAATAAATAAATATTTAAAAAGGTTTAAAAAAAGACATTTCTTAAAAAAAAAAAAATATGATAGGTTGGTCAACACTTTATACAGTAGTACATCCCTTATCCTTGGATGATACATTGTAAGACAATTGCCCCAACTGTGATGCCTGAAACTGTGGACAGTACTGAAAACTACATATATTATGTTTTTTCTTATACATACAGAGGTACAATAAAGTTTAGCTTATAAACTAGGCACAGTAAGAGATTAACAAGACAAAAAGAACTATATACTGTAATGAAAGTTACATGAATAGGATTTCTCTCTCTCTCTCAAAACATCTTCTTAATCTTTCAGCATTCTGTGGCTTTTTTTTTTTTTTGGAATATCCAAATTGCTAGCATCACTACTCTAACACTTTAGGGGCCATTATTAAGTAAATAAGCATTGCTTGAACACACATTATGATGTCTATCTGATAACTGAGAAAACTACTAAATGACTGTAATAGGTGGGTAGCATATACAGCATGGATACACTGAACAAAGGAATGATTTATAAGATTGTATCATGCTTATTCAGAATGGTACAGAACTTAAAACTCAAGAATTGCATATTTCTGGATTTTCCATCTAATCTTTTCAGACACTATTAAGAACAGGTAACTGAAAGAACATAAAGCCAAACTATAAGCAAAGGGCAACTGCTGTACTACCTGCTCTATGTTAGCAACTTTGTATTATACAGTACAATAGGATTTCATTGAAATTCAAAGTACACATAAGTTTTTAATGAGGTCAAAATTTCTAAAGAGTCTGAGGGCCATCACTGGATATTCTCTAGTGAGGAGAATGTTACCATGAATAACAGGATTATATATAAACATAACACAACATTTTACACAAACCCAGAGTTGGGAGCATTTAAAATACTGAAATAAATATGGATTTTTAAAAATAGGCATACGTTTTTGAGATAAAACAGAACATTTCAAAGACTTGTTTGAGCTTTCTACTACCACTTTGGGCACTGCCCTCAGATTCTTCAGGGTATGCACTGTACTCATTTATCTTAGCAGTTGAAAGTACTTAGGCGGAAACATTTGAGATTCCCTGCCTTGAACAATCAAATTATAATGGTAAATACACACAAACGACCCTATTTACATTAAAAATTCCTTCAGGATTGAAGTATGACTCCTATTTTACATATTCCCAATAATCTTATTAAAGTGTTGACACTAGGGATTAAATAAGGGATATTTTAAGGCTGATGAGACTGAAAACAAAAAAACTAGAATCAAAGGATTCTCATAAGTTTCCCCCTAAATCAGCACAGATATTCTAGCAGAAACTGGGATAGAAGAAAGTACACTGGCCTCTGACCACTTGGTATTTGACAAATTGCATTTAGCATTGAAGCTAGATTAAATAAATAGTCTTTTAGATGTTAACATAGGAAGTAGTCCTTAAATAAACTCTTTCCTTCAAGAGAAAAACAAAACTAAAACAGACCGAAATATGTCAAATTTTAACCATTTTATCCCTAACCTCAACTATTAGTTGGTATTCATTCTTATCCAGGATATAGGAACATATAGAAAATAGCCATACAACCTTTTGTAACCACTCATTTAACTGACGGGAAAGAGTACTTTCCTAACTTGTAAATGGAAAACAATGACAAACACAAGTATATTCACAAACTAACCTTGGGGTTCATGGACCAACACCAAACATTGTAAGATGCCAGGAAGTAGCAGTTCAATATCACAAACATCTACGTCAGTTTCTTTGAAGAGTTGGAGAATAAAGACCAAAATGGAAGCTAAGCGAGGAGGGGGTGCTGACCCTTTAAATGCAAAGCAGGATTTCCTGAAAAGAAGCAAAATTTTATTTTTTCTTTTCTTTAAAATTTTCAATAGAGCCAAAAAAAAAATTACTATATACTGTAATGATACTGACAAATCCCCAAGTGGATAAGGCAAAGTTTAAAAAAGCATGTATATTTTACCATGCGATCTTCAAATATCAGCTATTAGAAGCAATGACTGCACATCCTTTCAGTGTGCTATGATGGTCAAAACATAATACAGGGATGTATCATGAACTAAATTTAAAGCATCTGGCTTTAAAATGAATTTAACCAAACCTAACTGTTATTTTGTTGTTGTTTTTTTCTTTTCTAGTAAGTCTGATCTCCTCTCTCAGCTCCTCAAGGCTTCAACATTTTCTCTAATGTCAAATTTGCATAAATAAATTGCTCCTCACATTTATTTATTTAGGAATTTGAGAAGGTTCATATCTTTCTAAATAAATAAAAGTCCTGTTCTAGCAATCTGCTTCTTGCTCCAGCTTTACATCTTTCCTTTCTCCAGCAGGTAAAAGAATAAGAGAACTAGTTTAGAATTTTGTATCATCTGTCAAGGCAAGACAAATTTTAGCATTTTAGCTCAGCAGCGATTGTTAAGAATTTAATCTGACTCATCTTTGTATGCCCACTTCTTAGAATAGGTCCTTGGTCATAGCAGGTGTTCAGGGTACATTAAAGTGAATAAATGAAAGTGAAAATGGTCACTTTCTAAAAAAAAGTCTAGAAAATCTGAAAATTTGTGAAATACTGCTAAATCTAAACTAGATATCAATACATGTTTGAAAACTAATGATATTTACATAATGAGACACAGAAATCACTAAGGATTATAAACTCCTTCAGGAAAGGAACAATGTATAGTAATTGTTTCTCTTCCCCATGGCTTTTAACAAATACTGCATATTAGATTCATTCATTCTTTGAGGGTGGGTTTTGTCCATTTGTTCACTGCTGATTTACTAATGTCTAGAACAGACAATAATTGAGCACCTGGAATGTGCCAGGTACAAGTCTAAGAACAGGGATATAGATAAGTTTCTGAAAGCAAGGGACTCATCATCTAGTGGAGAAGTTAGATAAGACAGAAAAAGTTAAGTATGACTGTGTTAAAGGTGCTTTAGCTAAGATCAGTACAGAATTCTCAGGAATTCAGGGGAAGAAGCTCTGACTCAGATGGGAGACTGCCAGAGGAGAGCAGTACAGAAGGCAGGAAATCACAGGGGGGCATCTTTGTATCTTTCCTGAGTATTAAACAAAAACCAAAACCCTTGGGGCTGGGGATGTGGCTCAAGCAGTAGCGCACTCGCCTGGCATGCATGCGGCCCAGGTTCAATCCTCAGCACTACATACAAACAAATGTTGTGTCCGCCGAAAACTAAAAAATAAGCATTAAAATTCTCTCTCTCTCTCTCTAAAACAACAAAAAAAAAAATTAAAAAACAAAACAAAACAAAAAAAACCAAAACCCTGAACCAAAACCCAGGAATTGTTACATCTTGGGGGTCTTCAACTAGAAACCATGAGAAAAAACACTTCCACTGGATACAAGTAAATAAGAAAGTCCATTAATGCAACTAGGATCCTCAATAATGGGGCTTAAAACAGTTCTAAAGATTTAATTTCACTTTAGTGAAACTTTAGTTTATATTAAAATTAGTTGTGCAATGTCTCAAATACAGTGGTAGATTACTACAATCTTGCTGGAAATTCAGAAACAAGTGAGGCAAAACTATTATGAATTTGCAGATTGAGTCATGCAGGGCACACTACTTTAAGAAAGTAAAGAACATCATACAACATTGAGATCTCAGTTGTAGGTTTCATAGATGATAGGCAGGATTTAGTCCAGAGGAATAGCATTTTAATGAAGAAAATGGCATGAAGAATGCTGTGATGCAGGTAAGTATAAAGCATTTTGGAGCGGTAATAACTAAGCTCATAAATGTGATAATTATTTTTGTTTTTGCAGTGGAAGTTGAACCCAGAAATGCTTTTTCACTGAGCTACATCCTCAGCCCTTCTTTTTATTTTGAGACAGGTTTTTGCTAAGTTGCTGAAGCTGGCCTAGTAATATGTTTGGAAAGGTAAAGTGACAGATTATGGAGAATTAGAATATGGAATTAGAATATGGAATTTATTTCACAGGTCAAAGGGAGCCAAGGAAGGTTTGGGGACAGAGAAGTGTCCAAATGCATCAGTATTTTAGGAGAAAAAAGTAATCCAGGTTCATTTTCTATGCTGAACTAGAAGAAAAAGACTAGATCTGGTGAAAGTAGTTGGGAGACTCTGGTATAGACTAGGGGCAATGTGATAAGGAAAGTAAAAATGAAGGAAGTAAGCAATCATTTGCCAAAGGAGAGAGAACAAAGAAGATAAAGCTTCCAAACCCAAGTAATAAGATACTAGGAACACAAAAAGAAGATGAGATTTTAGGTATGGAATCCTGTAATGAGAGGTGATGGATATTGTCAGGTCATTAAAAAACACAGAACACTTTTACTAGGAAAGAAAATATGTATCACCATAGCATCTTAAATGTTAAAAACTAATTTCATATAAAGCTAAATATTACATGAAGACAAAAGATAATTTCTATTACTGAATTTTCCAGTATTGCAGTTAAAGGATATAAAGTTTAGTAGAAAACCTAAGAAGTTTCACTCATTAATCTATTTAATAATAAAATGGAGTTAAGATAAAGAGTGAACTAATAAAACAGGACTTCATATTAGCTTCCTTTTACATATCAGCATTTATCTTTTCTTTTATAAAATGTAATTACTATATTTTATGAAGTATAAAATAAAATGAATGCTTATCTGTTGAAAAACTATGAAATAACTTTAGGAATATATATGCAAGGAAAATAATGGCTCCATAGGAAAAAAAAAACAGAAGCAATTTAATAAGTATTGTCTTAGGCTGCTATGAGCAAATGTCATTTAAATAATTTCTTAATGTTTCTCAGAAAAAGAAAAGTTTCTAAACTACCAGTATCCTAAATGATTGCCAATATTTTTGAGATACTGTGTTATTTTCTAATAGAGGTGAATAATTTATAGATATATCTATTTTTACTACTTAGATGTACCTTAAAACTTGTACAATGCATTTCTTTAGAGATGATATCGATGGAATGGTGGCTGAATTCCTCAGTGCCAGCAAAACAGGATGTTGTCCAACATCTGTAACATATGGTGAAGCTGGAAGAAACCGCCCAATATACTGCTCAATAACATTTCCTAGCAATTGATTCAAATAGGCATTTGGATTTTGAGACTGACAGCATATGATACACATGCCCTACAGGGGTGGGAAAAAAAAAAAGAAAAAAGAAAGAAATACTAAGAAGTTTTAAAAAAACATACAATATTTAGGAATTTACTAATATAATCCCAGAATTAAATTCATGTCAGAATTTATAACTTATCACAATCAAAATGACATCTGACATCATCAATAGATAACATACATATGAACCTTCAGGAATTGAGCTTAGATATTACATATGCTATGGTATTTAACCAAAAATGCCTATTTTGGGGACATGAACACGGAAGCAGGAGAAAAGAATACAAAAAGAAAAACAACCGAGATTCTCTCTCCTGTCCTCAGAAAACTTGACTACTACTACTACTACTAGTACTACTACTGCTACTACACACACACACACACACACACACATTATAAAATACATTTCAGGTCAGTCTTTTTTATATAGGGCACTGGTCATTTTTGTCTACATTTATGCCAAAACTTTTCCATGTTAAGAAATATGGTAAATTAGGGCTGGGAATGTAGTCAGTGGTAGAGTGCTTGCATGCCTAAGGCCCTGGTTTCTCTTTCCAGCATATGTGAATGTGTGTGTGTGTGTGTGTGCACGTGCGTGTGCGCGCGCGCGCGCACACACACACACACACACGACTCATAAATGTGATAATTATTTTTGTTTTTGCAGTAGAAGTTGAACCCAGAAATGCTTTATCACTGAGCTACATCCTCAGCCCTTCTTTATATTTTGAGACAGGTTTTTGCTAAGTTGCTGAAGCTGGCCTTAAACTTGTGATTCTCCTGCCTCAGCCTTCTGCCTCACTGGGATTACAAGTGTGTGTCACCAATCTGGTGATAATTTTTTTAAAAAATAATTAATTGAAGAAGAATGCAGAAGATTAAGACTTAGAGCAATAACAATTTATTTAGAGATTTTTCTCTCAGAAACTGTGCCAAGTACTTTATATTCATTATTTCATTTAAATTTCTCAAAAAAACCCCATTGAGTTAATATTTTTATATACATTTTATATCTAGGGAAACAGGTTTAGCAGGTTAAAACAAAACTTCGAGTTCTTGTGAACTTTATTGAGCTCCTAACTTTGCTAAACCTGTTTCCATATTCTCTAGATAAGCACCTTCCTTTCCACTCATCTGCCAATTGCTGAGATGAGCAGTCTATACTGCACTATGGACTGTTCTTTATCTTTCTGCTGGATGACACATTAAACTTTGATTTATGTACTATCATAAATACAAAATTACCAAGTCAACTTAAAGCTTAATTTCCAAAAAAAAACCTATAGAGTTAATATCTTTATATCCATTTTACAGCTAGAGAAACAGGTTTAGCAAAGTTAGGAGACAGAAATTTTAAAAATCCATCTATGAAAGAGATCACTTAATTACCTAATCAAAATCTACTTTCTCCTTTCCTCCTCAGTTTTCCTTTCTTGACCTCAAATTAAGTAGCACTTATCTTCAATAATGAATGACAGGTCAATATTTCAAACTGACTACTGGACTTCATTACCTAGATATTCCAAAAGCTTCAAACAAAAGTTGCTCAAAAACGGATCCTTACCTTCATCCCTGTATTGCCAGAATTTTCCATTTTAGTTAGCAACACTACTAACTGTAGTACTAGTGTGATAGTGACTGGCAGTCTTCGGGAAACTAGGAAGCAATTCATTTTTTTTCTGTTCCTCCACAATTCATGCAGCAAGTATTTTTAATTGGAGCTCATCAATGTTTTTGAAATCTGCTGCGTGGGCTCTAATCTCACTGCCTTAGTTTAAAAACCTTTAGATAATGTGTAGGTAATTCAATGAACTAGTATTCTGTATCAATGCATTCTGTATCTCCAATCTAACCTCCTCACTATTTTAGATGTTGACACCAGAATCATTTTTCTAAAATGTAAACATGATTCTATCACTCCCACTTCTTTGCTCAAAATCCATCAATACTCCCCATGTCAAAGATGAAATTCAAATTCTTTAGTATGGTAATATAAAGCCTTCCCGTGTAAGGCTCCTTCCATGTGAATTTCCAACCACAACAGAACTATTTGCTTTTCCCCAATGCGCCTTATTTTTTTTTTAAAGCTCCCGCCCTAGTACAAGTTGTTCCCTCTGATAGAAATGGTCCTCAACTCTTACTCATTCAGCTCTTCTACACTTAATATTCTGTACAGTATATTCTCACATCTCCTCCACCCTAGTCTGGTTGATGAATAGATAGCTCAGGTCTCTAAGGAAAATATTGAGCACAATACTATTAAGGGTCTGTGCCAGTTTGACACCCTCTCAACCTCAAGCTTCTTGCCTTTCTAATCTTTGTTTTCAGAGCTAAAGAAAAAGAGAAGTTTAAAACTTGTTCAGTGCTTGTGTCACAGGTACACATGTACCTTGAGATTACAATGTCCGGTTTTTAAATCTGCATTTGGTAAATTATACTTTAAGACAAAGTTTTCCCTTTTATTACTTTAAGCAGCCACACTGCTTATATACCTGGAGATATAAAGGAAGACTCTTCTGAATTGCAGTCAGCATGGGTGCAGGTAATTCCTTCTCTTGCTGTAATACTGTATGTGGCAGCAGTAAACAATCTATGATCCGAAATAGCAATTTCTGGGCTTTAGAGGTGGCAAAAATTTGAGCCCATGATTTAACAAGAATTCCTAATAGAGAAGAGAAACAACAACAGTTATGGTTGTCTCCTAACTACAGCATTTATTATTCCATGAAAAAAATTATGTTTAAAATATAAATAGGTAGTAGGAAGAAACATCCTGGGAGTCAAAAGATATAGTTTAAGCCTGTATTTCACTGAGATAAATTTCTCTCAGACTTCTGGGTTGGGAAAAACAAATATATGAGCAACTGGCATTCATATATTCTGCTTTACATTTATATAATCTTATATTCTTCTATTTCTTTATATTTTTTATCTTATATATAATTTTATAGGCTGCCTCAATCTAGTTCACAAGGAGAGGTTTAACTAAATTTAATTATTAAAATAGGAAAAGTAGAAGTTGTAACACCTTGGAGCAATCATTTAGGCTCCTTAAACTTCAGTTTTTACACCTTTCACTTATTTATCATAAAAAAAAAACACACAAAATTTTGAATCTGGAATAAAAGAAAGAGACTTGATTTCCTTGATGCTAGGAGTCCATCAACTATGTGATGAGAGTAAAACTTAACAAATGAATACGCTTTTTTTTATATAGTATGTAATAGATACATAATTCTCACTGGGGTATATTATTGCTATTGAAGCCTCATTTATTGAAAACCAAATCTAAAAAGAGATTAAGTGCTTGTTACAACAGCAGAGTGGTAAAACTACTGCATAAACTTTTACATTTCATTCTACCTTAGAAAGCAAAAAAGATGATAACATTCAAAGTCATTTCCATCAAATAGAAACTTTAAAATTCAAACTCAGAAGGAGAACACACCTGCTTATAGAAGAGTATATTGATGTTAAAAAAAAAAAACAAACAACCAATAATCACTTCTAAGAAGAACAAACAGCAACATTAATCATCTGTTGTAAAAGGAAGTGCAATAATCAATCATAAAGAAACACAGTGTTCACTTAGCAATATTTTAAATAATGCTAGCTTACTCCTCATTTTTTAGTGGGTAGAAAATTTGAGTCTGACAGCAATATAAGAAGAACTCACATTCTAACTAACATTAATATATCCATAAAGCAACTGTCATCATAACCAACATTTGAAATGATTCACATCACTCAGGTGTCATAAAGATATTACTTAAAAAGAGTAGATACGGACCAACCAAAAACACATCATCTACCTTTGTATTTCATCTTCTGCAGTGAAAGACCTTAGTTTTTCTGAGGCCACAGAAGGGAAAAGTTAATACATTTGATGTTTCAGATTCCTATTTCTTAAATTTCAGCTGATAATATCTGTACATGTGATATTAAAAATGCAAACAAGAACGATGAGGAAAAACTTAAGTCAAAAACTTTGGGAACAGGGTTAGGGCTGTAGCTCAGTGGCAGAGCACTTGCCATGTGTGAGGCACTGGATTCGATCCTGAGCACTACATAAAAGAAATAAACAAATAAAGGTATTCTGCCCATTTACAACTTCAGAACAATAACAACAACAACAACTTTGGGAATAGTTTAAATACATAGTAGGTTTATTTAAAACAAAACAGAACAAAAACAAGTCTTTTTCCTAGCTATAAAGAAATATTATATACTAATACTAAGATAATCTCCCTGTCTAAAGATAACCACTATAAAAAAGTTCTTTTATATATACTTACTTTCTACTTTAGCAATCTTTCTTATTTAAAAACAATAACACGATGTACTACTAATAGATTCATAAATTTATTAAATTCAAGAAATATTTAGCATCTGCTATTACCTACACTGGAGAAATTTTCAAACCAACATATTTTAAATTCACAATACAGTATGTGATGCATACTCCATAAATATTCTTTTTTTTTCTTTTTCAAAATACGAAATGAGGGAAATAAAAATTTCAGAAGTTATGGCTACTACCCTGAATAAGATTAAAAATTAGTAAGGGTATGTCAAGTACACATTTTTAACAATTGAAAAGGTATAAAAAATGCCATAAGATTAAAAACAAATGAAGTGCAATCAGGGAGACTAAGTCTACCTGGGAATGTGGGAAAAGCAGAGACAACTGGGCTGGGCACTGAAAGTTCATGGGTAGAACTTCAACCACAAAAACAAAAGGGCAAAATGGCCAAAGAAATGAGGGTGATCAAAATGAAAGGCATGGAAACAGAAAGTATGAGATGTAAAGAATGAGAAAACAAACTTAAACCACAACAAAACTGGAACAAACACAACCCTGTCTCCCCCTGTACACACTAAAAAAAAAAAAAAAAGAAAGGGAAGTTGAGGATATTACTGATGGATCAACTCTGCCTTTTCACAAATTATTAGACTACAATCAAGATCCCAGATGTTACTCCTTAACATGGAGTATGGTTTTATCAATAGCATGTGTCTTCTAGTAGCAGCCTTATAAGTGATTAACTCTCCTTTCCTCAACTGGTTTTGGTAGCCCAACCCAACACGCTTTCAAACTTTCCTATGTTTATAGTTGCTTTTCTCCACTTTATTCTAAACCTTCTACATAAAGAAAACAGTGTTACCTGTTCCTTATTTATTTTTTTCTTTCTTTCTTTTGCAGTGCTGGGTATTGAACCCAGAACCTCACACATGCTAGGCAAGCACTCTACCATTGAGCTACATCCCCAGCCCTACCTGTTCCTAATTTCTAATGAATAAATGGGTAACACCATAGTTGTAAATTCTATTCCCTGTTTTTGAGATATCTACACAAAAAGAAAAAATATAAACCTATTTGCCACTAACCCCCCCCCCCAAAAAAAAACCCCGAGGTTACAGAACAAAGAAGGCCTTCAATTCTTCATAAGTAAAATTTTGCCCCAGGTCTACATATCACAAATCCAATGTCATTTTGTAGTTTCTGATAAGACTATCATATATTCTGCAATATAAAGACATAACTCTGTAATCATACACTTAGCTTGGCAAAAAGCTAAATCTGGAAACATCATAAAACTTTTTTAAGAGCCTAAATGCTAAAATGCTAATCTAGATTTTCCTATGTAATATTTATAATAAATTTATAATAAATATTCTAAAATTAAGATGTCTGAATTGCTACCATTGCTTTCACTACATTGCACATCATCCATATTTACACATTTTTCACATTCTCCTTTATCTTTCACAACAAAGATAAAAGGTTTGAGACAGCCTAAATCAGGTTTATTTATACATTCACAAGATTAAAGGGAATAGATATAAGGTTTTGGCCACAGAGAAATAAAAAAACTAAAAAACTTAAATTCTATATAAGAACTTCTAAGGAAATCTTTTTCATGTGCCTTTATCCAGTTCCTATTTTTGGTTAGCAACATGGTTTTAGTGAACAAAGATATTCAAATTACTGAATTCCTAAAGAAAGATGAACTCCATTGTTCTAGAACAGGCAGAGAAAAAGATTTCTTTTTGAAAAGGGAAAACACAATATTGTGAGAAACAAGATTTGAAGCATAAATACCTTAATGCTCATATTAAACCTCCTGACCTCGTTCATACAGAGCAGACCATAAAAATAAAGGAAGTGGGGTTTTCTGATGTTTTAAATTCTAATGAAGTACAGGTAAGCATTAACAAAAGCTCTATTTTAGTTATTCAGGTATTCACAACGTAAGTTACAGCAGACTACTGCTAACTGTTTTGGTATATTTTCTGTATCGATCACAATTAATTTTAATATTAACACAAACATAACAAACACAAGACCAACATGAGTTATTTTAAGCTAAATCACTGTATTTCAGATTATTATGACTTTATGGAGAATAAGTAATTTCACCAGTATATTTCTGTCCACCCTGATACTAAGGAAATGATAGTAGGAAAATAATGTCAAGAATACATACCCATCATCCCATAAGTGAGCTGCAGCCCTGCACTGGAAATTTTTTTTCCCAAATAGGGTTTTATGTATTTTAATACTTCACCAAGGTATTCTAAGGACTTTGTGACCATAGCAGACTTATCAGAAAGTGTCTGGAGATTCCTGTAAGTTGTACCAACAGCCTATAAATAAAGGAAAACAATATTTAACTTTCCAGGTTTTATACAATAGGGGCTTAATTCCCTTACCCCATACATACATACCCAATACAGTTAGGCCTTCACCCTTAACTTTCCAATAATGGTTCACAGCAATTAAATTTCACATGAAAAGGACTAAATCTTGCTTTTTATAATTAAAATAAAGGTTACAGGAAGAATAAAAAAAAAAATCAATTCACCAATAATTATTTATAGGAGGTTTCATTCAGCAAAGTATCACTGGGGGAAAAAAAAAAACCCACAAAACTGGTGTATAAGAATGTTGTAATGAAATCACATCAAGACTACCAAACAAGGAAGCTCATCAAATATATGTGACTGAGGACTCAAAAATCTCCAAATTCCTACAAGGAAAGCCTATTAGTAATGCTACCATATCCCAACAACAAAAACCTATATAAAGTTCAGCTTTATGATAGGAATAGACATCCCTCTACCTCCCAGAATTTTCTTCATGAGTCTGCTAGTTTAATAACAAATAACAGTAAGGAGGAAAGAAGAGGAAGGGAAATAAGAGAATAACATCAGGAAGGTGGGAATAAGTAAGTAAAGCCACAGAAGAAATAAGAGAAGTTGTTGGATTAGAAAGTTGGAAGAAATTAGTAAAGTTTTAAAATCATTTTTGGAAACTTAAGAGTGGATTTCAATGACCTAAACTAGACCACAAATAGCACCAATACACATAGTTAGGGGATCTCCCCAGCCTTGCCAGCTGCTCCAGCTGCTCTTAGTAGACATGAGGAAGGAGAGAAAGCTGGATTTACTGCACTGACCTAAGGTTGAAAGTTTGTAGGTTTGACCAAAAGACAAAAGACTACAATTGTGAAGGTACTGTTAAAAGTAGTTGAAGTAAGTCTCCAAGGAGGCTAATTAAGGTGGATGGGGGAGGAAGAGCAAACTTGAAAGGATGCTGTAGTTGGAAAAAATGGCAGAAGGTCATAAAAGGGAGTGGAAGGTCACTTATGACATGGAGGGATGGGAGTAACATTTCAGTAAAAATTATTTTCCAAAACAAATTAATGAGAAGAGTAGTAGTTCTTAAACATTTGTGCAAATCTCTTTACTGTCCAGCTTAATAGAAGTAGGCTGTATTTCTTATTTCCTTCTATATGTGATTCTTATGATCTGTTACAGAATAAAGAAAATCTTGCCTCACAAGTACATATAGGTGGAAGTAGTATTTTGACAAATTTTTCAAATAACTGTGGAAATTTCTCTTTGCTATTAGACCAAAACTTGACAAGTGGTATTTTTTGGAGGCCAGTCAAAATGAACTATGGAACTAAAGAATCTGAGGAATCTAAAATGATGTCATAAAATGATGTCAGTGGACACTTCATACATTAAGAGATCTTGGCATATCTTGTACTTAGAATAGATCTTTTACCCTTGAATGCTTATTAAAAAGCTTGCACTGGTCATTTGGAAAATTCTGACTCCTGAGTTACACAGCTTCCTGATGTTGACACATTTCATTATTGATATTGGCAAAAAAGTCATATGCATTAATACCAACACCATTCTCATAAAAAAAAGTCATTAAGTATCAGGAAGCCCTCAAGCTCACAATGACAAATACAAGCTTTCCAAAATTCTAATTTTCTTGAAAGCTCAAATTATATTATTAGCAACAGATATTGTCAGTTGTTTTCTTTGAAGTGATGGGCTGGCTTACTTCATTCATTTTTGAAAAAAATGTCTGCCAAATACCCAAGTCTGAATAACCACATTTTGTCAGTTGTTCTTTCAAGATAAAAGCAATCAGCTCAGCTTGCAACTCAAATAATCACACAAGTCTTTTCATTTAGACAACCACATTGTTTTGGCATGCAGCAAAAGTGCTTTAAGTGCACTTTGCATTGTCATTCACAGAATACTAAAAGAATATGTACTCAGGGTCAAGATTTAATAAAATTAATAATTTTATTTCTTCATTAAGGATATTCTTAAGTGAACTGTTTTTCCTGAGTATATAAAAGTGTAAATTATTATGGCTACTAGTATAATCTTAGGACACAGTACTGACTCATGCTAAAGCTTTTGCATGATTTGTGCTATGTCAATATAGTTTTGAGCTCTAGAACCTCTTGACAACGTATCAGTAACTCCCAGGAGCCTATCAACCATACTTTTGAACTTTAGTACACCCAAGGAATCTCAATATTTTTTTATGTTTAGCTCTAATCTCCCCAGACTAAAAGACATGCATTTCTTAGTACCTTGACTATGACAACCTATATCATTTCTGTATAGAAAAGAATTCACACTGCAGGCCAAATGCTGATATCCTTAAAAAGTCTTCCATGTCAGGTAGGGCCTTGGGCCTTTAGAGTTTTAGGGAAGCTGCTCACTATTCCCTGATAAGAATGGCTCACTGTGCCAAAAAAATCTGTACAAATAACATTGCTATATCAAATGCCTATTTTCCTTTTGTACATCTGGAATTCTGCAAGTGCAAGGCAAAGCGGGTGCATGTAACCAGTTCCCAATAAATAAAAACCATGGACATTGAATTGCTAATGACCTTCCCTGATAGTGAATATTTCATGTCTCATCACTACTCCTTGCTGAAGAATTAAACATACCCTGTCTCTCCTTCACTGAGAAAAGACACTTCGAAATTATGCCTGGTTTCTTTAGACTTCACTGCCATGTACCTTGTCCCTTTGTTGTTTGTGCTTTATATGCTTTCTTTGTAACAGGTCATGGCTGTAAGTACAACTATATTCTGAGTTCCAGTCTCTCACAACTCCCCTAGTGAATCACAAAACCTGCAGATAATCTTTGAGACACTTGACAGAACTCTAAACAAGTCGCAAAGTGAACTTCTTGCTTACTTACCCTTGAACCTAAATCATGAAGTTCCTATTTCTCCTTAAGGTATCATCACTTTTCTGGTTACACACAGTATTTATTTCATATCCATTTAATCTTCAATTCTTTCCAAACTCCACTAGTTTCTGGCTGATAACTCCCACACCTTTAAATATATTATTGTTTCTAATTTTCATATAAAAGTCATTTAATCAAATCAGACCTACTTAAAAATCTTCCTACTCTTCGCAGGATAAACTATAAACATCTTATTAAGATGCTCTAAAATTCTTTACCTACTGATTGATCTATCAACAAACTGACACTAAGCATATAAGACCTTGCATCATTTTAAACTCTATATATGTCTTATGGTCTCTGACAAGTGAAAGTTCTTCTGGTTTTTTAAATTTCTAACATGCCTTAGGTAATACTTTGCAGCACCTAGCTAAAAACTATCATTTGTTTAATGATAAAAGAAAAATTAATTTGGGCTAAATTATATTTAGGAAGACTAAATTTAAAGTATAATACAACTCACTGGTAGGACAGCAGAACAGAATGCTTGACTTCCTTTTCTGATCCAGTAGGGTTCCAAGCAAACAATAGGTATTTATTTAATCATGGGTTGAGCCTCAATCAACAACTAAATGAAGTGCCCAACAGAAATGTATATTTTGCATCTGCATGTTCAATTACTAAATGTTGTTAGTGTTTATACAATATTTTAAATTTTCTTACAATTGTACTTTAACTTAAAACCTATGGAAGAATTAACATTTATATAAAAAGCTTATTGGTTGTAATTATTTTCAGTGTAGTTAATGCCAACCACTCTGTAGAAAACAATCACTCTACTTTTACTGTGAACAGCTTATAAAAGACACTAATTTAAACACATTAATGACCTCAACTGGACTTAGAAAACAAGCATTATCACAAGATATATTCTTTTAAAATTAATAATTTAAAATTTAAATGGGACTCTTTATTATTTAGAAAAACCAAACCACATGGATTAGACTTTAAAACCCCAATCATACTACATATGAAATAGCTAGTATACTAAGGCTTACAGTGTTTGTCATAGGGCAGTAAATACTCAGCTAGAACTATAATGAACCCTGTACAAGTAATTTTAGTTTGCAAGTGCCCAAGAACATTGCTATCCAGCAATTTCAGTAATAAGACATTCTTAAAATTTTGGGTGGCCTTAGAGTAAAACTTTTATGTAGTACTCTTTAGTTTTATTATTCTTCATTAAATGTAAATTTTCTGCTGTCCTACCAGTGATTTGTACTATACTTTAGATTCAATTTTCTTCCTCCAGAATTTTATAATAGCAGGCAACTGATAATATAATTCAATTTTTTAAAAATTAAATTTATAGAAAAATTTTAAGAACACTGATCAGTACAGTACAATTAGTAACACAATTATACTAATAAATGAAAAATACCTCAAGGAATTGAACAACTGCTTTTTTGGGGTCTTCTGGGATGGGTAAATATCCAACTTGTGCCTTTGAGAAAATATCCTTTACTTCTGAGAGTTTAAATAGCAACCTTGTCAATTCAGCCAACTGTTCCACATAATCTTTTTCTGTAAATAAAATCACATATTTATTATATAAAGATATATAATAAAATAAAGTTTTCAATATGCTGAATATATGTATATATGTGAGTGCAGGGGATGTAAATCCTTGTTTATGACATGCTTTTTTTAAAATTCAAATTTCCATAAAATTAAAGAGTAAAAGTTTTTCTCACTTATGAACAACTTAGCCCAAAAGTCATTCATGTAAAGCCAACTGATATAGTAAGATATCAGAGAAAATTTAAAGCCTTTTTTCAGGGCAGCCCTGCTACAAATGGTTGGAAAAAACAATTGAGGAAAAGGTGTGTTCTACAGAAATAGAACTGTATGAAATATTTTTTTAAAAGTAACCAGACCAGAGTCACTCAATGACTAATAATAAAGCAGAAGAAAGGCAAAATATCTAATAAAAATAGGACAGAATTATTCACAATTGGATATTTTTCTTTTTGGGTACTCACAGTGTGATATCTGGTAATACTTCAAATTTCCACGTTTTTGTGTGATAAATTTTTTCAGAGTAAAAAAAATTAGCCTGTCACCTGAGGAACAAGTTTTTGTTCTTGGCTTCCAAGGAAACAAGTTCTTTTATCTTGATAGCAGGGGAATTTGTCATATGTAGTCCAAAAAAAAAGTGTGTGTGTGTACACACACACACACACATCAAGAAAAAGAAGCAGGGTGCAAAAGGAAAGAATAAATTTCTGCTTACATATACACTTAATTATAAACATACTTTGTATATTTTCTATTAATTTATGTAATAATCTTGGGCTGGGGTTGTGGCTCAGTGGTAGAGTGCTTGCTTGCCTCACATATGTGAGGCACTGGGTTTGATCCTCAGCACCACATAAAAATAAATAAACAAAATAAAGTTATTATGTCCATCTATAACTAAAAAATAAAAAAGATATTTTTAAAAAATTATGTAATAATCTAGAGAGCAAAAAGCTTTCCATAGGTACTCCCTCCATGCCTCACCAAATAAATGTATACACGACTCACTTACCAACTGCCTGCTCAGAAATTGCATCAGTAAACAAATCATCAGGTCCAGAGAGATTTTTTATATACATTTGCAAAACACAACGGATCCATGATCTTATAGTTGAGGATTGAAAAGATACACAGCCTGAATGAGAAAGTGCTTCACACAGGGTGCTGTAAAGGCAAGTTGACGCGTATTAAAACAACAAGAACAAAAATGGCAATATATTCCCTGAATATATACAGCAAGTAAAGAAATGCAATCTAACATCTCCCATGAACACACTTGGTCTTACTCATCTTTCAGATAAATACACTAACATAGACAGGCATTGCTGAAAATGAATACTACAGATAATAATACTATACTCAAAAAGAAATGCTGGATAAATTTGTGTTGTCATGTGTAATGTTCTAATTTTAAACTTTCCTTTTTCCATTGATGGTATAAGCCAAGGGAAAGGTTGAGGAAGCATATGGGTGAAATGGGAAAAGCAAGGGGCTTATATCTAGATAGGTGAGATGATAATGAAGGAAGCAGAAGCAGTAAGTAGAAGAAACAAAAAACAAAACAAAAAAACATCGAAGTGGCCTTTGGAATAATTAAGCAGAGAAGAGGTCATGACCATATGAGGAATGGGTAAAAAAAATTACAGACAAAACATATGTCTATGAGTATCTCCTGACAAGTTCCACCCCTATCCTCTTCCCTGCTCCTCCATTCCACAGGTTCAAAGATTACCCCACATGGGATTCAAAAGCAAAATCTCCAAGAAATTTTAAAAGTAATCCTTATTATGAAGCCAAAGACCTGGCTAAATTTGATTTCTAATCTGTTCATAAGAATGGGGATGGTATACAGAGTTTTGAAAGGGCTTAACATTAACAAAAAGAAAAAAAAAAGCAACCCACAAAACACAAGCTAGCTTTCCTACTATGACTATTGTAAAATGTTGGTGTATCTGAAAGCAAAAAAAATCTTCCAAATGAGAATATATGTGGAAAAGATAATTTTTCATTTTAGATAATTCTTACCTTACCAGTGCACTGATCTATTAGGGATTACATTAATAAGTATGACTGAAATAAGGACACATACCTATTTTGTAGTAAATGACTTAAATATTTTGCTACAACTTCGGGGCAGATGATATCATCCCAACCATAAAGTTGAATTATTGATATTACTGGCTGAGGCTGAAGATCTGACGGAGCAGTACTTGGCATGTCCGCTGCCAACAAAGTAAAATCTAGATTTAAAATGAAAGAAACTAAGGTGAGAAAAAATTTTAAATTTCCCCTCACCCAATTTATTTAATAGTGATAAAAATACCAAATAATAAAATGTCATATCTAGAAATGTAGAACAAGCAAAAAGTTAAAACTGAACTAAATTCATGTTGTCAAAGAAATTTCTAATAGCATCATCTAGATCTTCAAGAAAGGATCGAGAAGCATCTCTTTCTTATCATTGTGGATCTGTACTGGATTCTTTAACTCAAGCTGGAGGTTTCTGCTTGTATGTCGCCATCAAATCAAAGATACATAAAAAAATATTTCTAGCGTTTACTCTTTTATAATTAAGCTAATTTATTTGTTACTTATCACAGTGAGCAGTTCACTCTTACCTTAGAACACAAAATTTTCCTTAATAGTAATCACTATAATCAATCACACCCCACCTTCTTCAGAACCCAAAGATCTAGGAGCCAAAATTCTTTAATTTAATCATGTTACACAAATAATACTTCATTTTGTGATTTACTGGGAACCCCATCAACTCAATTTGTACTACACTGATTTATGCTTGTTAATCAATTTTTTAGGAAACACTGCTGTCTATGTAGCTTTCTTCAAATGTAATTTATTCTCCCATACCCCTCATAACACTTGACCTACAGATGAGGTGAGTTTAATTCTTGATCCACATTGCTGTTTCTAGATCATTGTCCCTTTCTCCTTCCCCAAACTCCTACCTTTGAATGTCATATATATCATCAGATGGTAACAGCCACTAATTCCTTCTAACTCTCTTGTAGTCACCTGCACTCTCCTAGTTTACCCCTCTTCCATGCCAAGCCGAGTAGACTGTTGTTCATTATTATTCTCTCCAACAACAACCTTACCATTGATGTTTTTTCCCCTAGTATCTTGGCCCTTCATTTCTTGGCACTCCTCTCCTCCAAAGAATATTCCTCCATTCTACTTTAGACAGTCCCATGGTGATCACAGAAACCTTGGCATTACCAATAACCACAATCTTTCTATAATTTTATTTTCAAGTGCTATACCTTTTGATACCAAATTTGCTTTAGTCTAGGACCCTAAATCCAACAATTCTTTGATTACATCAGGGCCTATAGTCTACTGCACCCACAACTCTTTCCCTACCTTCCTTGTGTTCATGTCTTCCCTTCCCTCTTTAGGGTATTCCCCATTACTACACTCATTTATGTATGCCACCAACTCCCTTGAACTTTTTTTGATTCACTGTACTTGCCTAGGGGGAAAAAAAAATTTATCTGTTTAATTCCACTTCTTGGCCTCCTCCTCACAAGTACCTGCACCAGCATAAATGAGAACAATACTGCTGATGAATATGATTAGAGACTTCATGTGGGGGCCCAACCCCAGCCAGCAGTCCAACATTTCCCTAGTCCATTCAGGCTTCTATTCTCCTAGGCAACTATCACATATCTTCCCCTTCCTCTTTTCTTTAACAGCCAGCAACTCCTCCCTCTACATCCTCTCTTATTTACTACTTCACAGAGAAATGAGAAACATTATACCAGTACTACCACAACTCCTACCATATTCACCCTGGACTCCTACCATATTCACCCTGGTGCCTCCATCAGGGCCCATTTACTCTCCCTTCTCCTCTTCTACTATAAATGAACTAAGGCCAAGTTCCTCTGTGGGGTCCCTTCTTCTCTCGACACCAAAACAAAAGTGATATTTTTGTACCATCCGATTTTCATTTACTATGGAACATTCTTGTAAGTATTAAATACACTGAAATTTCTTCCACCTTACTTAAAAAACAAAAACAAACCCTCTCTTTGACTCTACTGCTCCCTCTAATTCATTCCCATTTTTCTTAAATGGTGATATTTAAAAATTTTATCTATATTTGTAGTTTGTTATTCTTTTTACATTTTCTCTTAATTTATCTTTAATCTATTTAGTATCCACTACACACAAATTGCTCTTCAAGGTCACAAATGTCTTCCTTCTTGTAAAATCCAATGACCAATTTCAGGGCTCATCTTGCTTGATTCATCAGCAGCATCTGAGATGCTGTTGATCATTTCCCCCTCCCAGTTTCCAAACACTATGCTTTTTTTTTTTTTTTCTTTTTACATGCACTCCTTTTTGTTCTCCCTTCCTATTTCTCCTTATCTTAATTTCAGTGTAGAAATATGCTATGGCTCAGGCTTCAAACTTTCACCCATACTTAGACTACTGGTGATCTCCTCCAACATCATGGCTTAAAAGACTGTCTATAAATGGGACGGTTTCCAAATTTAAACTTTCATCTTAAACTTCTTCCCTAAACCCTAGGCTTATTATCTAAGATTCCATTTTAAATGTCTATTTAGATTTTAATGGATATTTAAAACATTGTATCCAAAATTTTTTTAAAAATCTTAATTTTCTCTCAAAATATCTGTTTCTGCCATAATCTTTCTCATCTCAGCAAGTGGCTATAGTTACCTTTAACTTCTTTTATTAACTGTTTGGTTACCTTGCTTGACCCACTTAGCAAATTCAAAATATTTTCTCTACCTTCAGATGAGAAATCTGACCATTTCTCACCAACTCTACTGCTAACACCTTAGTCCAAGCTGATCATTTCTGGGTTATTGCAATAGTGCCTTAACTGGCCTCCCAACTTCTCCCCTTGCTCCCTTTGTCCAGGGTCAACTTGCTAGCTTGAAGGATCACACTGTTTGTCTGCTCAGAACTTACCAACAGCTTCTAATCTCAAAGTAAGAGCAAAAGTCACTACAGTCATTTAATGAGACAAAATGCAACCAGCTTGCTCATATCATTGTGTTCTCTCACCCCTTTCATACTCCATATGAACCTTTATTGCTTCCCTATAGTTTTTCTCTCAGCTCTGGACTTCTACAGAGCATGATCTTTCACTTCCTTCAGGTCTTTGCTCAAATGTTACTCAGGACTTACTGAAAAGTCTATTTAAAATTATAAGCTGGGAGCAGTGGCTCATACCTGTAATCCCAATGGCTCAGAAGGCTGAGGCAGGAGGACTGCAAGTTCAAAGACAGCCTCAGGAACTTAGCAAAGCACTGAGTAACTTAGCAAGATCCTGTCTCAAAATCAAAAACTAAAAGGGGTGGGATGTGGCTAAGTGGATAAATGCCCCTGGGTTCAACCCCCAGTACCACTCACTCACTCACAAATAAAATAAAATAAAATCACAACCTGCCTCTGGCCTTACCCATTCCCTCCTGTATTTCTGTTTCTTTTCACAGGATTTATCACAATCTAACAAATTACACATTTAAGAAATTCATTCTCTTTAGCTCAATTTCCTACTAAGAATATAACCTTTATGAGATAGTCTTGTTCTCCCTGACCCCCCCTTGATAAGTTCCCAATGCTTATAAAAGTGGGTATATATAGTGCTTTTTAAATGAAGGAATGATTTTCTCCTAAATGGTGTTTATTTAAAACCAAAACCAAACCCACACATTTTTCTTTGTATTTACATACTATTTATTTTCAGAACCTAAGATAGCACTGACTTAATAAATGAAATCCATTTTTGTTGACTAAGTGGCAGCTAGCATGACAAATGTAAGAAAGCTAAGTTATATCAGCTATTAATCTTAAAAAACAATGTACACATTGTTGTGATTAAACGGATTGAATACCAATATATATTTTCACTGATATTACAGTAGTTGGAAACCATTGCCCTGTCATAATTCTTTAATCTATAATTGTAAAATCTTAATTATGCAAATGCTACCAGAATTCCAGATCTTTCAAATTTATAACATTCAGTCTTTCATGTAGTTGCTTTTAACTCAGTTTCTTCATCCATACCAGGGTAACATAAATGTTGGCTTACATCTTAGGCTTTAGAAAATACTATATTTAAATACATAAAATACCTATATAGTTACCTTTAATACATGTAACAACTACACTGATTTGTCTATTCCATTAATTTTTAATATAGTTTGGGCGAAATACATATTTGAGAAGGATAATGATCTCTTATTTTAAGACAACTGGATATATGCAAATATTTGCAAAATTTTGCCTATAATTCCGTATGAATCAGACTTCTCTAAATCCTAAGGACTATGCTTAGACCAATAATCAAATCAAGTATAAATTACAACCTAAAATAGAGGCAGTAAAAGTCAGAATGATAATATTCTATATATTTAATGTCATTCTTATCTTCTTGGTGTTGAAGTGGTATTCATTCTGTATTCTTTACTCTTTACACAAATTAGTCTTATAGGTAGATGTCTGCTCACACAATTTGAAAATAAGTTATTCAAATTAGATATAATCAAATGACACTTTACTTTCCAAATATTACATGTACAAGCAAAGTTTGTGTACATTGTTTTTTAAGATTCAAAATTACTTATTTTTAGCAAATATAATTAATTTAATTTTTTAATAATAAATAAGCCAGTGGGTCCTAATTTAAAAATATATAATTCATTTCATCTTTCTGGCTGTCAAAATATTTATTACACTGTTATAAAGCAAGTTTGTTACCAAGAAAATAGAGGGAAATACTGACAAAGAGTCTGCAAAAAGAGAAAGTAATTAACGAATTAACAATTAATGCTGACCTGCAGCTGCATCTGCAAGTTGTGAGGGAGGCACAATCTGTGCCATTCTCTGACTCTTCAAAAATGAAAAGAAATGTTTCCACAGTGCACCAGCAATTGCAGCAAGGTGGCGCTCTTTAGCCGATAATGAAGACTGCACAATTAGGTCCACATTCTCCCTTTGAAGTTCCTGGCACAATTGTTGATGAATACTCCTAAAAAGAAATAAAAATATAGTTAACAACCAAGAAATGCTTACAGAAATATTAATTAAATACATTTTTTTGCTTTTTTTCATTCATATCATATGAAAACTGAAGGACCGTTTTATATAATTAAAACCTTTATGACAAGACATAATGCAATTCTGGTTATTTGATGGATGAATGATGGCATATTAAACACCATAAAGTTAATGTTAATTACTAATGTCAACCATTAATTATATGCTTTTTAATATGTCAGATCCAAATGAGAAACAGGCAGCTTCAGAACGAAGGTCTGCATTTTGCAACTCATGTATGACAAGTGATTTTACTCAAATCTAGACATGAAAACAATTTTTAAGCCATTTTCTCCTGAAGGTTTTAGGATATAGATACACTAGGAGTGAGGTTAGTACATCTGGCTTGTAAGTGGTATTTTGAATTAAAAAAATTTTCCTTGTTTAGTAAAGACAAGGACTGTGTGCTATTGTATAAAACTGCTGGAGAGTCTTAGTCTTAGTACCTCAGACCAAAAAAACATAATAAACAGTAAATGTTCCTCTTCATCCCAATTTCTTAAATTTCGATTCATCATTTAATTCCCCTTTCTATTTAATTAAAATGAAAATTTAGACATTTCTAGACCTTAACATAAACATCTGCAGGAAATTGAGGTTACCAAAGTAAGAAGGAGAAATACTCAAGAGATTTTCTTAGTGATCTGGAAGAGAAGGCATTTATGCAGTGTACTCAGCAATTAATAATATGATGTATTAAAGGCACAACCATAATATTTTTCCTGTTTCTACTTATATCACAGCCAGATCAACTGAGAGTGGACATAACTGTATGGATATCATCCTCCCATTTGTTTTCTTCAATTATACAGAAAGTAGGGAAAAGTAACCAATAAAAATAAAGCAGAAGACTTCCTTTGACAGAAAATAGTATTCTACTAAGAAAAGTAAACAGCACCTAAAAAGAATAATATTATATTAATCCTAATTCAGTATTCTTTTTTTTTTTTTGGTACCAGGGATTGACCTCAGGGGCACTTGACCACTGAGCCACATCCGCAGCCCTATTTTGTATTTTATTTAGAGACAGGGTCTCAACAAGTGAGTTGCTCAGCTCCTCATCCTTGCTGAAGCTTTGAACTTGTGATCCTCCTTTCTCAGCCTCCCAAGCCGCTGGGATTACAGGCATGTGCCACTGCGCCCAGCTCTAATATAGTATTCTTGATGTTTTTAAACAGTTTAGGGATAGTAGACACTAGAAAGAACTATATGAGACAGAACTAATACATACACAGAATTCCACAAAATAACCAACTGGTTATAAGACCACATCTTAGAAGATATCACATGATTCCACACAGGAAGTAAAGCATAAATTATATAACATTTGGATCTTGTACTCATGTATACTGGAAATCTGGCAGTCATGGGGTACTGCTTAATCCTACTTTAAGTATTGAAAAAAGTGTACAAATTCCTGGGGAAAGAGCATTCAGCAAGCAACTCTCACAAGAGCTAACCAAATATCTGTTATGTCTTCTCAGTTTAACAACTTGACTGAGATGCTTTCAACTTGAACTAGTGGCTAGAGACTGTTTCAGAACCTTTAGCTTGGATAAAATGAATAACAAACTCCTAAAATTCATTTGGCAACAAACTCAACTGCCTATATCAACCTAGCAAAGTTCATGAATACATTTCCACACACTGAATTCCAAGTAAAATAATACCACCATTTCCAGTACCCTTTATAGCTTTTTCAAAGTATATTGGTTTCAAAGATAATGAGTAATGTATTGAACTTGGGTAGGACATATATTGTTCACTACTTCTAAATAAGCCACTTTATTCACTAAAGCCTATTCCTTAGGAAGGAGTAACATTTTTGATCAATCCCTATGTGTTAGAAATTCCTTTAATTAAAAATCAGATCCTTAGCTCTCATGAGTACCAATGTCCAACTCAAAATGGATTAAAGACTTATAGGTAAGACCTGAAGCTATAAGACTACTAGAAGAAATAGAGTAAACACTTCAGAACACTGAAATGGACAAAGAGCTTTTGGATCAGACACCCAAATCATAGAAAACAAAAAATAGACAAATGGGATTATATTCAGCTGAAAAGCACAGTAAAGGAAATAATCATCAGAATCAAGAGTAAACTATCAGAACAGGAGAAAATATTTGTAAACTAAGGCTGATATTCAGAATATAGAGTAACTCTAAAAAAAAGTAATTAAAAAAATGGGCCACAGATCTTTTTTTCCCACTTTTAAAAATTTGTTCTTTTTATATATACATGACTGTAGAGTGTATTTTGACATAGAATACATACATGGAGTATAACTTCCCATTCTCATGGTTGTACATGATATAGTTTCACTGGTTGTGTATTCATATATGAACACAGAAAAATTATGTCTAATTCATTCTACTGTCTTTCCTATTCCCATCCCTTCTCCCTTCCCTTCATTCCCCTTTGTCTAATCCAGTGAACTTCTATTCTTCCCTTCATCTTGTGCCACAGATCTTAACAGCCTTTTCTCAAAATGACCAACTGGTATATGAAAATGTGCTTAATTAACATCACTAATCATCAGACAAATGCAAATCAAAATCACAATGAGCCATTTACCTTACTCTAGTAATACTGTATATTATCAAAAAGACTAAAGATAACAAGTGTTGGTGAGGATGTGGATAAAAGGAAACCCTTGCACACTGATGGCTGGAATGGAAATTAGTACAGCCATTATGGAAAACATTATGGAGATTCCTCAAAAAATTAAAAATAGAGCTAACATATGATTTGGCAATCTAAATCCACAAATGAAATGAAATTGGTACATTGAAAAGACTTCTGTACTCTCATGTTCACTGAAACACCAGTCATACTAGACAAGAAATGAAAATAATATAAGTGTTCATCAACTGATGAATGGATAAAGAAATTGTGGTACATATGCACCATGGAATACTATTCAGCCATTAAAAATGAAATCTTGTCATTTTGGACAACATGGATACTACTAGATTACGTGAAGTGAAATAAGCCAGGCACAGAAAGACAAGTGCCGAATGATGTCTCTCATATGTGGAATATTAAATAGTAGATCTCAAAGAAGCTGAGTGTAGACTGGTAGTTACCAGATGCTGAGGAGAGTAGGGCATAAGAATGGATAGTTACAGTCAGTTGGAGTAACAGTTGTGGTATGCTACTGCACAGTAGGGTGTTATTTCAACAACAGTATTCTGAATGTTTTTACTGTTAAAAAAAATGATAAATGTTTGAGGAGACAGGTTTAACCTGATTTAAACATTACACAACGTACAAATGTATCAAAATATCACATGAAACCCCATTAATATGAACAACTTTTATATCTTTATATATCAGGGAAATAAAGAAAACTTTCAAGACAACTCTATAAGATAGTTCATTAATCCTCTTTATATGATGAAGCTGATAGCAAAAAAGTTAAGTAATACGCTCAAAGGTCACATGGCTATGAAGAGCTGACCCAATAATCTGAACCTGAATATGACTCTTAAGTCATGTTTCCCTTAAACCCAGAAAGGTTGAGGCAGAAGGAGAGTGAGTTCAAAGCCAGCCTCAGCAATGGTGAGATGCTAAGCAACTCAGTGAGACCCTGTCTCTATACAAAATACAAAATAGGGCTGGGGAATGTGGCTCAGCGTTTGAGTGACCGTGAGTTCAATCCCTGGTATTCCCCCCACCAAAAAAAAGAAGACTTTCTGTTTGATGGTCTGAGTATTCAACCTATATCAGTTTGAATAAGAAGAATGATCACCTGGTATATTAACACAGAACAAACTTGTTTAAGACCTTATAATGATCTCTCTACTCATGAGGAAATCAAAGAGTGATAAACGCAAGAAGTGCCAAGAATATATCATAATGGTGTCTAAGAGAAGAATCAAAATTCTGCACAATAGCCAAACAGTTAAAAATATACCATGCAGTGGCAGACAATTTTTTAAAAAATCAAATTTTCTGAACAAGAAAGCTAACTACACTAAGATTACTGAAAAATAAACAGTATATTAGAAGTGGTCATTGCACATCTACTGAAGGCATATTTACAAAACTAAAATTATGAAAAGAGTTTCCTCACTATTGGCAACAGTGTGAAAGAAAACATATAACATGCATGAAATACTGTAAGGACCCTCATATAGTTCTAGAAGCCACGGCTATTTTATGAGTAATTATCTTACTTTCTTCAATAACCAGTAGACAAATATGAAAGTAGGTTAACTGCAAAAAAGGCAAAATGTGATTTATGGTCAAAAAGTAAAGGAAAAGATGTGAAATCTCCCAATATTTGGCAATTTTTGTTTAAGACAGATTTTACATGGGTTAAAATCATTTTGGAAATATACATGTGTAGAAATACACATGAGTAACAAGTCCACTTTACATTATAAAGGATGAAATACAGGATACTGGGAAAGAAATATGCTGAATTTCAAGTTGTTCAAATTGTAGCTCTCATAATAGAAATAACAGCAACATCCAGCATTTATTGGTATTTACCATGAGACCAGCACTGTGCCAAGTATTTTATAAGCACTAATTCTCACTCTGTGAGGTTGAAACAATTATTATTCAAATCTTTTAAATGAGAAATTGAGATAAAAAGAAGTAACTGAATTGGGTAACAGATTAACAATGCTACTTAGAGCTAGGTGACATTGGAGAAAAAGGATTCCCCAATTCCTGTTTTCTTACGTCAATACAAACAATCAAGAATTGTTCTACGTCCACTTAACAGGCTTACCGTGAAAACCACATGAAATAATGCCCCGGAGTGTTCATGAGTCCATCTGTATAAACACCCCCACGTTTATACACCCACTTATCCACGTGTGTCCTATTACTTCTATTTCAGCTCTGTTGTCTTGAGTCCTTTCCTTTCCTCATTATGTTCAAGGGCTTTCCTGATTCCTTTATCTGACTGCTCTTGAG